CGCAAGTCAATAGAAATCAACGGCAGATATTCTGGGATCCTCCGCTCCCTCTTCGCGCTACACTGTTATTGCTCGATTACTTGAATCCTGGCACGAACACTAGAAAAAGCCTCTATAATCTGACCCTAAAAAAAAAACACAACAGGTTAATGTGAGGTCAGTGTACCTGGGATGGATGCGTAGACAAGTCTCGCGTCCACGTTGGCGTGCACGAATAGCAAGGGCGAAAGGCATCATGTCATCGCGTGCCGATATGGAGACCACCGCACGTACGCATACAGCAGATAATTCCCCGCCAGTGTGACGAGGCTTGGTTCAACGACAACACACATGCTATGTGTGTGTGAGGCAGTCGGGTAGCCTAGGTGAGCTGGCCTAGGTGGTGCATGTGGACATGGGGTTTCTTTCATTCGCCAATACAGGGCAGCTTGGCATACACCATCGATGTTGGAAGTGAACATTACATACTTGTACTTGTTTATCGCATGTTAGAAACGGTTCCAAAAAACACGGTGGAGATGTGGAGATGGAGATGCACACATACCGCACCGCATGTCAAGGAGGTGTCCTTGTTGTTGTTGTTCTCGTCTTACTTCTGGCGACATACCCCCCATTTGCATAGTCTAGATATCACATCGTTCGTTTTATAGCTAGCCTCCAATAGAGATATGTATACGCATATTTCGTCGGCAGCACGGGAGCGGGGAATAAATCATGGAACTTTCAGATTACCACATGAACTACACCACGTACAAGTGCGCCGATATCCTACTGTGATGCGAGGCTGGTTTCCTATTCACTTTCTGGTGCTGTTGTTGCTTGTCGTCGGATATTTCAACAGCAGACAGAGAAGAGAGTGTACCATCCACTCTGTACGTGGCACCAGGAGGTAGTTGCGAAACTACTTGAGTTACCCCCCCCACACACCCAGACACCGCCCTTCAAAAGCTGAGTTCACTGTAACTAAGAAGGCGATCCCACGCAGCGACGCGTTTCCGGACAGCTCTCCAATGCCGTAAATATGGGCACATACATTCTTTTAACGGCCGTGCGCTCCAACGTGGTGGCACCTGTCATGCCAGAATATGTGCAAAAACATCAATGTCCTTCCCGCCAACAGCAGTAACACATCACGCATCACCAACTCCCTAGCGGAAGAGCCTGAAGGCAGTATACACATGACGCTCGGCGCAAAAATCGTCGAGAGAGAGAGAGAGAGAGAGCAATTTCCAACCCAAGGATGCACCTCTTCAACTAAAAAGAGTGCTGAGTGTCGAGAACAGCAGTAATTCTCGGCGAAGGTCATCGTCATAATTTCGGTGGGCAGTCCGCAGAAAACGTCATCTTGCCGAGGAAGCCCTTGACCTCCTTCCGCGAGCAAATTCGAACCACGCTGCGTGCCAAATATTAAATGATTCCAGGGCAAAAAAGAAAATGCGCGCGAACGAGGTGGGCCCGCGAACGGGAGTGTGAATCGATACGGGAGGACGTTGGTGTGGCTTCCGGTCAATATTGTAAACGCCGGAGAGACGTCTGTTCACATTTTTTTCGGATTCGTCCCAACCCAAACTAAACAGTAACCTACGGCGGTTGCGTGTGATTGGTCAGGTGTTGACGAAAGGTTTTACAACCAGCCCAGACTCTTCCAAGCCGTAAAACACGTGAGGAACTGTCCGCGGCATAGAGGCGGATGAGGCGCTCGAGTCCAGCACCACGGACTATTCATTTCGCGTCCGAATCAAACTTTCAACGTGCGCTCAAAGAGCCACTCGTGGCAAGACCCATGAGCAAAAGAAATGACTGGTCGGCAAGCGATAGTCGGGCGTGTGGTATGACTATCCAGTGTTGTTCCGAACAAGCGAGATGTGCAGAAAATAATTCCAGTAACGGCTGCCTGCCTCTGGGAACGATATTTTCATTTCGATTGCCGCAGAGGGAGGTTGTCATGCTGGATGCGGAACTGCGCCCACCCCTCCACTGCTCGATTCAGCAAAGCTCCCCATGCTGGAGCAATCGGATCAACAATAATTACATTTGTGTCAGGCCAGCTGGGGTACATGGTCCCATTAGCAGCAGTTGATAGTTGATGGGCGAGAGAAATTCGAGAAGTGCCATAGAAACGCGGGCCATTATGTTCCAAGGACAAGCACGTTTGATAAGAAATGCAGAATCGTTGCAAGCATCATGATTAATTCTCGGGCGGTGGTTTTCCAATTATTATGGAAGGCACAGAATGAGAAACGCACAAGGAGGGAGTCGAGGCACAAATGATCTGTATCAAAAGAACAAACTACTTTTTGTCTGCCTTCTACACAACCATGCCACCAGCGCTTACCCAGTCTGCTTGGAAGCTATGACAATCTCCACGTTTCTGTCCGTGAGAGCAGGGGCTCCTTTACCAGACGACGCCTGCGGCCGAGGTGGGAGCGAAAACACGTTGTTTGTGTCAGTACCAGTACGAATACCAAGGCCTGTCTCCTACTAAGTTGATGGGACCGTTTTCGGTCATCAGACCAACGGCCACAATCATCAAACCAACAACAAACGTTACCGGAATAAACGCCTCCAAATCCTGTGAAATAGCCTAGGGCAACAAACAGCTTGGTGAAAAACATTTCCACAGAGTAACCTTGGAGGTAGGGGGGGGGCTGGCGTACTCATAGTCGTGCATGCGGTAGTCGTTAGACCATTGCCCTCGCATCCCTACAAAGCCGGGACGGAGCACGCCGGGTTTTCACCGGACCAGGCTCTTACACCACCAAGCGCGAAGCGCCGTGAGGTATTCGGCGAGTCGCATGAAGGGTGCGCTGCATCCTGCACAGGGTGATCGGCATCTTGTGCTTACTTCGTTGGGTACGAATGACAACTGCGAATGACTTAATTTATTGGGAAAACGACACAACAGGGTACACCCTGGCCGAAAAGCGACACACCTGGGTACACAGTCAATACAGCAGTAAATGCACTCACATGATTGGTCAGCGCCCAATTTCACCCCGGTGCGTCCGAAAAGGCGCAGGGTATACCCTGCCGTGACTACTTTTCTCAACAACTGTACCCTGTTTTCGGAAATGTACCCTGACCTGACGGGAAATTAGACCCTTTCATCAATCATATCCCCCACATCAATCTTCCCAACTCCTTTTCCCCTCCAACCTGGGATACAACCTGGGATACCAAACGGCGAATCTTCCCGGCCAATAACAACCATGGCAACGGGGCAGGAATCAGTTTCCGCCCCTGCGAAACAACACCAACCATCAACTCTTCCGCTCTAAATCAACAATGGCCAGGCAACACCCCAGCACAATTGTTCCGTTTGGAAACATGCACACACGCGTACAATACCCCGTGCACTACTGCTTGCTGCAGTCTATATGCGAGATGCACGGGTCACGCTGTGAAAGCGAGACCGATCCAGCATGGTTGACATGCATATGCATGTGCCAATGTGCGGCGCTGTGCTGGCGGCAAGCTCGCGCCCGCAGAGAGGGTGGAGGAGAGAGGCAGGACCAGCACACACAGACACGCCCTTGACATCAATCACGCACACACGAGTTTTATCCTTACTCTAGCAGCAGGACACTGCTCTGTCGTCAAACTCAATCACCCTCCCTGTCGGTAGAGAGGAGGAAGAGTGCTCGCGTTGTATTTCATCGGCTTATCCCGCTGAAGCCTGACGTCTTCTTACTACATTGATTGATTGGTTGGCTTGATCGGCTGGTAAGCGTGACCGCTGCTGCTACAGCAGTAGTTCAGGCAAGAAACACATCGCAATTGAGACACAACATACAACACACGCACGCACACATGCATATGCATGTCAACCATGCTGGATCGGTCTCGCTTTCACAGCGTGACCCGTGCATCTCGCATATAGACTGCAGCAAGCAGTAGTCCACGGGGTATTGTACGCGTGTGTGCATGTTTCCAAACGGAACAATTGTGCTGGGGTATTGCCTGGCCATTGTTGATTTAGAGCAGAAGAGTTGATGGTTGGTGTTGTTTTCGCAGGGGCGGAAACTGATTCCTGCCCCGTTGCCATGGTTGTTATTGGCCGGGAAGATTCGCCGTTTGGTATCCCATGGTTGGAGGGGAAAAGGAGTTGGGAAGATTGCTGCGGGGGATATGATAGATGAAAGGGTCTCATTTCCCGTCAGGTCAGGGTACATTTCCGAAAACAGGGTACAGTTGTTGAGAAAAGTAGTCACGGCAGGGTATACCCTGCGCCTTTTCGGATGCACCGGGGTGAAATTGGGCGCTGATTAATCATTGCGATAGCAACTCGACGAGTATCGTCGCGTTGCCTGTCTGAAGCTTTCCAGTTTTTTAGCGGTCAATGAAGTCGAGGGCGCACACCGCGACACGCTCGCCCACCGAGCACGACAAAGAGTTCTGTACACAGAGTATATGACATAAGATTTCACACCCCCTGAACATTTTTTTTTAATTTTCAAAGCTCGATTATAACCTTACTCCACAGCAGAAAGCGTGGCGTGGCCGGGCGGCGTTGGCACCGATAGCTTTCCGAAACAAACCTATCGTTTGACATCCTCGTCGTCGTGGACTAACATTATTAGCTGTGAATATCGATGATGCGATATGTTATGTCACCTACTGCCGGTACATGCCATGCATAAGAACAAGGAGCACCCTCCATACTCCAGTAAGTTGTTATTGTATTTATTTAGTAGTTGAACTGAAACCTCTCATTATACCCATACATATGCGGGTCGCCCTGGTGGTCTGGTTGGTATCCTCGAAACCTTCTAAAGGTCAGGTCATGGGTTCGAATCCCGGCGTAAGCGAGCTTTTCTTGCAAAGTGAGTTTTTCTCTCGCTTCCGCTTCTAGCCTAGTGGATAGCGCTAGTTCGTGTGTACACAGAGGGAAGAGAGTGCTGAACTCTTCTCTCATTAAAAACGAAGGCAAAGTACCGCAGGAGGGGAGGGTAGAAGAGAGGTTCTTCTGTGTGACCACGGGTTGGAGTAAACGGCACTAGTTAGTGCTGTGAGCGCTGATTTGAAGTAAAAAAAAAAAAAAACATAATGAAGAAGTCGTTTTGTACGCTAATACTTCATAAGTGCTGCAAAAATTATCCATGGACGAACCCAGCAGTTCCGTTATTATTGTTGTCTTCACAATTAATTACAATCCCGTTCGTTCTGCTCTCTCTACCCAGTACCTTCTTCGTCTGTCCGTACTAATATGTATGATAGTCTGACAAATGACGCGGTCGATCCCCGCCGTGGTCACAGGCTAACTTACCCAAAAAAGTTACACGAAAATGAAATTGACCCGAAGAAGGGTCCGCAAGTCAACGACAGATTAGTCCAGGACCCCCCGCTTGCTTCAATACGCTATGCGAGGTAGTAGCCATAGCCTGGACAATAAAGAAAAAAGCAAAAGTGTGTCCGCACATACTCCGAAATGTATCCACACATATACCACCCAAATACCCGGTACATACGTGTACCACATTGAAAATACGTTTGTAAACTGAGGGAGATTGCATGCCCTACGATTACAAGGGTGCCACACACAAAACGCCCGACCAGTACCTAACACATATCATCTGCACCTTCCCAACATAACATATATGAGACACACAAGACAGCTACCAAACTGTCTTGTTGAGCCTGTTACCCGCAGGGGAGATGTCCCTATATGCTGTCTGGGAAATCGTAGACATACAGGTACTTTCTGACGCTATGAATCCATTGCTAATCTGTCTCAGACTCTTTTCTATGATAGAGATGGTTTCGCTGTGTCATAGAGGCGACCTCGCGCGCACCCGAAAAAACCGTCAGTCTTCGACCGGCACTTCTCACTACGCCCATCCATGCGCATGCACTTTTTGGTGCCGAGGGACTCCATGCTTTCAAGAATGCCGCCAATCATCTCGTTGATCTTTTTCTGTCGTTTACATACTGATACATACATGTAGTACGCACGTCACACCCGAATGAAAAGGAGACCACACCAGAACGCGCTCTCCGCACGCTGGGAAAGAAACCGGGACTATATGAATGCGGACCCCAGAAGATGCGCTTGCTTTTCTAGAGTAGGTTTCCTCTCCGAAACGAAAGAAACGGACGGGAGAGAGGGAAAAAAGAAAAGAGAAGAGGCGTAGTATGCGTGCCCGTCATGGACATTCAGTAAGAGTCGTATTGTGGTAGTGGCAGGAACCTCTCTCTGCGATCAGGTCAGAAGGCCACCAGTCCCCGGGGCTCTTCTGTTGCACCCACCCATGGACGGACGCAGCAGTAGTAGTAGCGCATGTCCTGACTAGACAACTAACTACTGCTGAGAATATTGGAGACCACGAATCAAACCGACAGGTGTGTCGTGGGTGGGCGGGGGACCCTAAGAAACAGCCAGACTCAGCCAGTTTACATCCTCACAGTTTCTTGCAAGCAAGAACGAAGGGTTAAGGGTTATAAAAAAAGAGACCGCCAGCGACAGGAAACAAAGAAGTAGAGGAGAGCAGAGCTAAGAACCAAGTGAAGAAACAAGGCCCCCTTGCCGCTCTGACCCACCGGAAGCTTTCCATGTACCGCAGCAAACAGCAGGGGCAGCACCCACTACCTCACAACATGCATACCTGGGTACACGAACTGGTACGTGTTGTAGTAGAAGTTTAGTCTCTCTCTCCGGGAAGACTAATAACGCCCGGGCGAACTTGAACTTGTAGTCACAAGCAAGAAATAGCGTCATGACGACGTACTTCATTCTGCTTGCCGTGGGAGATGCGCATCGTTACGCGAGGAAGGCGTTAACTCCTCGCACAGAATACTATGCTGCCGTAGACAGACCCTATCCCTCAAGCTCACCCACAGCAATACCCGATAGATACATGGTAGCATCATATCCAGCTGTAGAAGAATTGAAAAAAAAACTGTCTTCTTGGTGGCGAAGCGGACCCTCTTTACTCTATTGTGATAGCAACTCGACGAGTATCGTCGCGTTGCCTGTCTGAAGCTTTCCAGTTTTTAGCCGCTAACAAAGTCGAGGGCGCACACCGCGACACGCTCGCCCACCGAGCACGACAAAGAGTTCTATATACTTCGTCTATTCGTACTATTATAATGTATGATAGTCTGACACTTAAGTTGACGCGGTCGATTCCCGCCGTGGTCACAGGCGAACTTACCCAAAAAAGTTATACAAAAATATAATGGATCCGAAGAAGGGCCCGCAAGTCAACGACAGATTAGTCTAGGACCCTCCGCTCGCTTCAATGCGCTATGCGAGGTAGTAACTATAGACTGGACAATGAAGCAAAAAATGAGCAAACGAATATTGGAGGCGACCTCACGCGCACCCGAAAAAACCGGCAGTCTTCGACCGGCATATATATCTCACTACGCCCATCCATGCGCGTGCACTTTTTTGTGGCGAGGGACTCCATACTTTCAAGAATCATCTCGTTGATCTGTTTTGTTTGTTCGTTTACATACATACATGTAGTGCGCACGTCACACCCGAATGAAAAGGAGACCACACCCAGAACGCGCTCTTCCGCACGCTGGGAAAGAATCCGGGACTAAATGAATGCGGACCCCAGAAGATGCGCTTTTCACAGTAGGTTTCCTCTCCGAAACGAAAGAACCGGACGGGAGAGAGGGAAAAAAAAAGAGAAGAGGCGTAGGACGCGTTCCCCGTCATGGACATTTCATAAGAAGAGCCGTATTGTGGTAGTGGCAGGAACCTCTCTCTGCGATCAGGTCAGAAGACCACCAGCCCCCGGAGCTCTTCTGTTGCACCCACCCATGGACGCAGCAGTAGTAGCGCATGTCTTGTAATAGACCACTACGCTGAAAATATTGGAGACCACGAATGAATCATGCCGACAGGTGGGTCGTGGGTGGGCGGGGGACCCTAAGAAACAATCAGACCCAGCCATTTTACATCCTCACAGTTTTTTGCAAGCAAGAACGAAGGGCGATAACAAAAGAGAGACCGCAAGCGACAGGAAACAAAGAAGAAGTAGAGGAGAGCAGAGCTAAAGAAACAAGTGAAGAAACAAGACCCCCTTGCCGCTCTGACCCACTGGAAGCATTCCATGTACCGCAGCAAACAGCAGGGGCAGCACCCACTACCTCACATGCAGTAGCCGGATACATGCACGGACTGGTTCGTTGTAGAAGTTTAGTCTCTTTCTCCGGCAAGAACAATAAGCCCCGGCGAACTTGAACTTGTAGTCACAAGAAATAGCGTCATGATGACGTCATCCATTCTGCTTGCCGTGGGAGATGCGCATCGTTACGCGAGGAAGGCGTTAACGCTTCGCATAGAATACGCTGCCGTAGACCCTATATCCCTCAAGCTCAACCACAGCTATACCCGATACATGGTAGCATCATATCCAGCTGTAGAAGAATCGAGAAAAAAAAACTGTTTTCTTGGTGACGAAGCGGACCCTCTTTTGTGACTCTCCAACTGCTGTTCGTGGATGGCGACGACATGGCGACACAGACAGACAAAATCTAGGGTTTGACGTCGGTCTTATCCGCCGCAGGAGGTGGAAGCTATGCTCAAAGTCGGGGAGGCGTCGTGATTTGCAATTCCCTACGGAACCGTACTTGAGGCGCCATGAGATTTGCACTGCCGTAGACGAGGCTATTTGTCGGCAGGGAAACATACAACAAACAAAATCTTCGGCGGACCGGACCCTCTTTTTTTCAACTCTGGCCAACTAACTGTTGTTTGGATGGCGAGACAATTTCCGGTCTTCTTGTCCGTCACAGGAGGCCGAAGCTGATGCTCAAATTCGGGGAGGGGTCATGGTTTGCGAGTCCCTACCGAACCATACTCGCTCGGGGCACCACGTCATGGACATGACAAGAAAAACACCCCCCCAACGAAAACTGCTGAAATTCATGAATGGGTGGGTGAGTGGGGGACCCCAAAACAATGAAACAGTCGCAGGGTTCGCGTTGTTCTGGGGCTCTACCGGCGAATGACACCGTCGACGCTCTGAACCGCTGGAAGTTGTCACACAGCACTGCATGTGCGGCGAACCGTAGGGGCCATGCGCATTGCTTGACGGAAAGAGGCGGCGCCCATTGCCTCACATGCAGGGTAGCCTCATAAACAGCAAGACGCAAAACGATTGCCGTTGACGTTCGATGTTATTGGGGACCCTAACGGCAAAAATGCAACAGAGAGAGAGAGGTAGACTAAAGGAAGGGAGACTCGAGAAGACAAGGCATGAACTCTCGTCGAGAAGACACTCAATCTGATCCCTCTGTCCACCGCAGGCTTGAACACGTGTAACGAACGGCGACATCCGATGTGCGCTCAGCAACAACAAACACGACAAAAGAAACATAGTCGTCATTTCCGAACTGCTGTGGAGATGATGTGGAGATTCTGTAAGTTGGTGGAGACTTTCTTTCTTTTCTGGTATGAAGTGGCAACAAAGAAGAACACGACTATCTGTCTGTGTAGACTAGAAGCGCGACGGACGAACTATTATCTCAATGCGCTTGCCGTCGCGATAGATAGATGCGCACTGCTACCGCTACACGGACGAGCAGACTGTTGTCAAACCTGACTACGATAACCGTACGACCATTGCAGCACATTCCGACAATAACAGCAGAAACCGCAGCAGCAGCCGCATGTGTACAATGGTCACTCAAGAACAAACGCAAAAAAAAACAAAATGTGGCGCGCAGCACGCAGGACCCTTTTTCGCTGTTCAACCGGCCGTTTCCGTGGCGAAACAGGCAAGGAACAGTCAAGGTCGACTCTTGCCGGCCACAGGAGGCGGAAGCCGCTCAAACTCGGGGACGGCTCATGACTTGCGATTCCACACCGAACCATACTCGAGGCGGCACGAGATTTGCACTGTAGCTCGAGATCAGCATTTTAAACCGGGTCGGGCAGGGGTGGGGCATGCGAATGAAACTTCCACGGATATTGAACGATGAGACTGAAGCTAAAGCTTCAAAATTCCCCAAGCCTTGGACGTGGCGGTGGGCATGGTACAATAGGATGTGGTGGTGTGTTGACAAGTGGAATGGACGGGGTGCGAGTAAAAAGTCCGGGGCCCAGTCATGAACATGGCAAGTAAACACCCCTCCCAACAAACATTAATGGTGAGCAGGTGGCTGGGGGACCCCAACAAACAAACCATGAAAAAAGAAAAGAAAAGATCAAAGACAAGTGAGCCAGGCGCGACAGGCTTGAGGGAGGAGGAAAAATAAGCATAGAAAACCCACCGTGGTCGTCGCTCGCTCTGGGCCGCTGGAACATGTCAAATAGCGCTGCATGTCCAGCATTATTAGGTAGGGCCCCCAAGTCCATTGCTTGTCCATTGCTTGACATAAAGCAGGTAGCGCACATCGCCTCTCATGCAGCAGCCCGGTGCACGGGTAGTCTCTTACTCAGCAAGATGGGGAACCACTGCGGTTGACGTTGTAGTTCGATATTGTTGGGACCCCATCGGCGAAAGGCGAGAGAGAGACAGGTAGACTAAAAGAAGAGAGCGGAGAGAACACAAGGCATTCACTCTCGAGAAGACACTCACTCACTCTCGTCCCTTTGGCCCACCGCAGGCTGTCAGACATCTGTACCGAACGGCGGTATCCAAAGTGGGCTCAGCAACAACAAACAAACACAACAACCACAAGTCGCCGAGTTGGAACTAGACTAGAGTAGTGCGGACTTTCATCCTTCTGTGACGAAGTGAGAACAAAAAACATGAATACACGGACGAACTAGTCCGTCCGTCCGCGATAGATGTGCACCGCTGCACAGAGCAGCAGGCTGTTGGTTGCCATTCCTCACTTTCTGTTGTAAATAAGATTGTGCTGCCATCTACCTTATCGCTCAAGTTACGACTGACTACGCAGCAGACTCAAAAAGCATCAATACCCTTATTCGATGTATGCCACCCATCTATGCATATATATGCCGCTTAGACTAATACGATGCATACCATACCACCCATGCATATGCAGCAAGAGAGAAAAAAGGCCTGTTGTTGTCTGTCTCACCTGTTGTGCTGCTGTTGCTTTTCATGTATGTATGTATAACGACACAACAGGCGACAAAGTAAGCGACGCGCATCGCCTAATGCGCGACGCGTGCACCCCAAAGCGACAGACACGATAGCCTTCAACCTTGTCTGAAGCAATTCAGCAACAGCAGCATGGTCACTCAAAAAGAAAAAAAAAACAGAATGTGGCGCGCAGCACGCAGGACCCTGTTTCGCTGTTCAAACCGGCCGTTTCCATGGCGAAACAGAAAAGGAACAGTCCAGGCCGAGTCGTGTCGGCCGCAGCAGGCGGAAGCTGCTGAAACTCGGGGAGGGGTCATGGTTTGCGATTGCCCACCGAACCATACTAGGGGCGCCACGAGATTTACACGGTAGCTCGAGATCGGCATTTGAGACAGGGTCGGGCAAGGGGTGGGCTATGCGAATAAAAGTTCCACCCACCCACGGATATTGAAAGATGAGACTGAAGCTATGACTCTCCAACTGCTTGCTGTTCGTGGATGGCCACATGGCGACACAGACGGACAAAATCTAGGGTTTGACGTCGGTCTTATCCGCCGCAGGAGGTTGAAGCTATACTCAAAGTCGGGGAGGGGTCGTGATTTGCAATTCCCTACGGAACCGTACTTGAGGCGCCATGAAATTTGCACTGCAGTAGCCGAGGTTGTTAGTCGGCAGGGAAACACAAAAAAAACAAAATTCATGGGTGGGTTGGGTCAGTGGGGGACCCAAAAACAATGAAACAGTCGCGGTTCGTGTTCTGGGGCCCTACCGGCAAAAAACATCGTCGCCGCTCTGAACCGCTGGAAGCTGATACACAGCACTGCATGTGCGGCGAACCGTAGGGGCCATGCGCATTGCTTGACGGAAAGAGGCGGCGCCCATCGCCTCATATGCAGCAACCGGGTACACGGGTAGCCTCCTACTCAGCAAGATGCAAAACGATTGCCGTTGACGTTCGATGTTACTGGGACCCTAACGGCGAAAATGCAACAGAGAGAGAGAGAGGTAGACTAAAGGAAGGTAGACTCGAGCAGACAAGGCATGAACTTTAGAGAAGACACCCACTCTCATCCCTCTGGCCCACCGCAGGCTTGAACACGTGTAACGAACGGCGACACCCGATGTGCGCTCAGCAACAACAAACACGACAAAAGAAAAATAGTCTAGTCGTCGTTTCCGAACTGCTGTAGGAGATGCTGTAAGTTGGTGGAGACCTTCTTTCTTTTCTGGTATGAAGTGGCAACAAAGAAGAACACGCCTGTAGACTGGAAGCACGACGGACGAACTATGATCTCAATGCGCTTGCTTGCCGTCGCGATAGATGTGCACCGCTACCGCTATACGAACGAGCAGACTGTTGTCAAACCTGACTACGATAACCGTACGACCATTGCAGCACATTCCGACAATAACAGCAGAAACCGCAGCAGCAGACGCATGTGTACAGTGGTCACTCAAGAACAAACGCAAAAAATAAATAAAAAAAGAGTGTGGCGCGCAGCACGCAGGACCCTCTATCGTTGTTCAACCGGCCGTTCTCATGGCGAAACAGGGCAAGGAACAGTCAAGGTCGACTCTTGCCGGCCACAGGAGGCGGAAGCTGCTCAAACTCGGGGGCGGCTCATGGTTTGCGATTCCACACCGAACCATACTCCAGGCGCCACGAGATTTACACTGTAGCTCGAGATCGGCATTTGAGGCAGGGTCGGGCAAGGGGTGGGCTATGCGAATAAAAGTTCCACGGATATTGAAAGATGAGACTGAAGCTAAAGCTTCAGAATATGAGTGCATTTACTGCTGTTATTGACTGTGTACCCAGGTGTTTCGCTTTTCGGCCAGGGTATACCCTGTTGTGTCGTTTTCCCTAATTATTTTCTGGTGCTTTCACTTCCAGAGACAGTTATAAGCACTGTGTAACTGCCTCGAAGACTGCCTCGAGGATGCTTGACCATTTCAACACAACGTGGTGCGATCACCCCCCTTGCGCGGAGTGAGGGTTCTCCACCCCGCACAGCATAATCTACTCGACCACCATTATGGTAACCGCAAAAAAAAAACAGAGGTAAAAAAAAACGGTAACCTGGTTGCCGAGTTCACGAAGTGAAATGGCTTGTTTTACAACGTCGTTGCCAAGCGACGAAAACCCAATCCCGATGGCAAACACCGAGGGGGAGGCAGGGGGGCGCAAACAAACGCCGCCACGTGCTCCTAACATATTAGTAGTGCACTGGTCGGGGCTTTGTTCGCGGTTGGTAGTTGTCATGGAAATGGGGGATGAGGGTGATATGGGGATACTACAGTAAGTCGCTCAGACGTCTTCATACTACATGTACTGATAGTCGAAAACCATTGTGTCAAACAATACAGTGCTAGTTGGAGTGAAACGGAAGTTGAAAAATCTGGTGTTCGGGACGTACCTGAAAAATCTGGTGTTCACGATGTACCACACGTGTGAGATAATTTTTATGAACGAGAAAACGCACTGGTGAATTCCAGGCCGTTGCTTTGCCCTTTGTCGCACCCGCGTCCTACTTCTGGGGCAACCAGAATGTGAATTTGCAACGAAACAAAGCTCTATGTTCATTCCGTGACGCCGAAGCTCGAAACAACCGTAGTTCAGCAACCACAACGGAACTTTCGCCTAGCCCACTGGGGAGTTCAAACATATTTACGCCCATAGGTATATGTTTCCAGGGTATCCACATCCCATGGCACAGACTATATCCCAAGTAAGCGTGAGCCTGGATCCCTCCTGGGACGCCTCTGCTCAGTATCGCCCCAGACAGCCTTTCCTCAACGGAGCGTAGATGTTTTTTATCCTGCTGGGTGTGGGTGCTACATAACTGGACGACACAAAGAGGACGACTCTCGGTCGCAACTCCCCGGTGTCACCATGATTACGGGCTCCTTCGTTGTGCGCAGTTGTGCTGCGGCTTCATTGCGCATGGGGGACACATGCTTACAATTGTCACGATGAAGGAAACGGGCGATGTTCGGCTCGACCTTAAGCAAACAAGCACAGACACAGTCAAACCCCACCTTGGACAAAGCTTGTAACGCCAGCTCCACAGTCTCCATCTCCCCCACCACCCCGAACCCGGTCCCAATCTCTCCGCCGTCCCCCGGCGTACTTTCATCTGAGGGCTCTGTCATCTTCCCCCCTGCCTCACTCCCTCGCTTCCTGTGAGTTTCTTCATCTGGCCCTTGGACGTCAACGTTGTCGGCGTCAACATCATCATCGGAAATTTCATCCCCTTCACGGTCCCCAACGATCTCATGAGCGGGTGCATCGCTTGTCGTACGGCCTTGACCATCATCGTCTTCCTTCTCAGCATTCATCACTGACGGATTAGGGACTCCTGGAAAATAATCTTTGTCTGGAGTGCGGTGCTCGTCGCCCCCCACTGACGATGTGGACTCTTGTCGGCTGTTCCCTCTCCCGTCCCTCGATGCCGCTGCTTTCAGGGCCTCCTCCAAGAAATCCGAGGAGGCTGCGCTGCCGCGGCCTACAGCGGTGCCCTGCATGGACACAGCACCGCATGCTCGCGAGGGTGAGAATCGCCAACACCGCGGCTACGCGAGCCCAGTATTCTCTTTGGGGAAAAGTGAGGCTGTTGGTCATGTGATGATGCCGTTCGGAAGGTGACAGAACGGCTACGAAGACCGGGCGCTAACTGCGGCAGCGTCGGCGCTCGTATGATGATGATGAAACCCTCAGAGCGATTTGGGAGGACTCAGCCTGGGCTCAGCTCAGAGAGATCAAGCGTGTCTGAACAGCAACATCGAGAACCGCCGAAGGTCTGCATAGGTACTTCGCCCGAATCGGCCACGCTGTATTCAGCTCAGGCAGGCAACAACGAAGAAACGATCTGGCAGCTTCACTATGAAGTTCATACCCGAGAATTCTGCCCATGCACGACACAGCTTCCTCTGGCATGACGAATAAGAGGCAAGTATCGGAACACAAACGCCTCACCCATGCTTGGAACACCTGCCCAGAAGGTTCTATCCGAAACAGAGCGGGTCCCGTCGGATCATCCACGCTGCAACGTAAAGCAAACGCAGGTTACGCACAATCAATGGCTCAGGTCTCCATTGTTCGAGAGACGCCTGTAGATGGCGTGAACGGGCGAGCTGTGTTGAGGGGATGCCGACGCGAACGAATCAGCACAGGGGGGTTATCCTGGGAGCAACTTCGGTCGAATCATTCTCGACAACAGAAACCAACTTCAGTGCCATATGTTGCGGAGAAGTGCAGGTACCTGATAATCAAGGAGACACAAGCCATCGGCCGCAGAGCCGCGTGCTGAGTGTTCACCTGCGGACCGACCAGATTGTTCAAGGGCGTAACGGTCAAAGCATGTTGCCGTGGCTTGTGTAAAGTGCGCATCACTTCCACCAAGACAGGTTAAAGCACACCAGTGACTTCGCGGCAGGATAAAAACCGAACCCTTGATGCAAGACTAACCCGTCTCACTAACCTGGGCGGCGTCGGCCATCGCGAGAGCAAGCAACCGCGAAGGCATAGAGCTGCCGTATTGCCTCTTGTATTCTAGTGCCTGAAGCCGCGCCCGCTTCACCTGACGGCACGATACGGTCATGCGTGCGTGCCGGCCCTGCAATAATGAATGTACCGGTCATATGGCCCGCCCGCTTCACAAAATGGACTTTGTGGCCACCAGCTAGTCGTCGCTGTGCTGCACGCCAGGCGTTTTTCTCCATCGGCTTCGGCGAGTCTCCACCAGCAAAGACAAACAAGTGGATGAAAGAACGCCCAACAGACAAGAGCCTGGGCATTCATGGGGTCGCGTTTTTCGTTCATCGACATCGATTCCTTCGAGTAAAGCACCAAAACAAGTCGACACAAACGAGTTGTCCCGTAAGGTTCTGCACGGCGGGCATTTTCTTCTTAGAATATGTAGGGCATGACGTACATGCCGGGTTCTTACTCAATCTGTGCTGAACACCCCAACAACCACCGTCCATCGGAGGGTTGTGACGGTTTCGTCTTCTCACTCGCAACGTGTCATTGTCGCGTTCATGGAGCTGGCGGCAACGGCTAGATGATATTCACCTGATACCGAACGTCGCCGGTCATTCCAGTGGCCGCACTGTAGATGTCGTCAGTTATCCGAAAGATGCTGGTTACAGAATCGGGGTACACTAGCTCATCCTGCTACAAAAAAAGCAGCAAACGCGCGCGAACATTTGTGACAACGCACGAGATGTGAGTCAACAGAGACAGGATCCTCCATAATTTCATGAGGCAATGGAAATTGAGCCTTACCTCGCAGGCAAAATGTTCGACTCGCCTGGCACGGTGGTATTACCTAAATTCAACCCCGCCTACACCAGTAGTACGACACCTCTTTTGCTCCCCACGCATGTATACTACCAAATGTTTGGTAGGTGCCCTCTGTCCGGTTGAATCTGTTGTCACCAAAGTCCTCCCTTTTCGGCTGGACAGTGTGGAAGAGACAAGTGTCATGTCAAAGAGGCCATCAGGGTAAATACATAGGCGGGACGGGGGGAACACTTCACACCCTGTTCAACTACAACTAACAACCTACGCACACAACCGTTTGATCACGTTCAACACCAACAGCAGCCAACTCCACGACTAGTGTCTTTACCAATCGTTTGCTCAGCTGTTTCGGCCTGCAGTTGCCCGCGCACAACTGTGTGCACAGCTTTCTCGAACAATAGCCATTTGTCAGACCACTACAAATGGTTATTTCGCTGTGCGTGTTGTCATCTACCTTCCGAATGTATGTTACACCTTTCGGTAGGTCTTCCGAACGTATGAGGCCTCCAGGGGGAAGGCCGTACAGGAGTTACTCTCGTGTTTCCGTTTTCCTTCAGCGGTATGCGTACTTGCCTTGGTTTCCTGGCAAGCAAGTCCCATCCAGCTTAACGCAGAAAGGCATACTAATTCCCGCGCTTCATGATACTTGCTAGCTCCTTCCGCATACTCCGACCGCCGAGCCATCGTGTAATCTCACTCACCAACGCGTTCGCAAAGAAAAACAGCAAGAAAGTCCAATAAACACTGGTATTACTACGCTTGCGGTGTGTTCGGTGTCACACAAGACTTGCCGGCAAATCTCGCTTGCACGCGACGACGCAGCAACCTTCTCCGTGCACCCCGACCGCTGGACAACCGTAGTGCCCCACAGCGCGCATGACGTACTCCACTTGGTAGAGCCTGCCCTCCGGCGAGAACAGCGTCAGATCTGCATCGTACCTGGAGCGAGAGTGCAAGACAGGAGGCGCCCGAAGCGATCAGCAGCTCGAACACGTAAGAAAAGGTTCCAGACTGACATGCGAACGATATTTTAGCGACCTGCAGCCATTGGTAATCGGCTTTTGGACGCGGGGGGGACTGCAGTGTCTCCTCTTCAAAAATCCAGGAAACGCCTGCATATCTCAGTTTTCCAAAGTCTAACTCCAGTACGAAACTACCATCGCGAATTAAACGCCCACCGCGGTCGCTGGTGGACAATGTTAGTTTCTGGGATCGTAGCTCTTGTGATACGCGGCAAACTAGCGGTCCGCGATGTTCCAAACGATCTTTCTATCATCGAGATCGTCAGCTACAAGCAGGGTTTTTTAAGCTGCTGTGCGGTCCGATTTTTAAACGTCTCAAGCACCTTTGTTTGTGGCGTGACCTACATATGCATGACCCCAGGCATTCAAATCGAATATGGCGACGAGTAGGACATGTCAGGGAAGAGCTGCGCAGAAGTTCGCAGCCCCACACACTCACACTGGTGCATATTCGCCGTAACTGCATGCTTGAAGCATTTTAAATTCGAACCGCACAGCAGCAAACCCTGCTTGTAGCTTGCCGATCTCGATGATAAAAAGATCGTTTGGAACATCTCGGACCGCTAATCTGCCGTGTATTACAAGGGCTACGATCCCAGAAACTCACATTGTACCCAAGCGACCGCGGCGGGCGGTTAATTTGCGACTGTAGTTTCGTACTGGAGTTAGACTTTGGAACTCTGAGATTTGCAGGCGTTTCCTGGATTTTTGAAGAGGAGACACTGCGATCCCCCCTGCGCCCTTAAAGTCCGTAGCGTTCGTAACCCAGAGATACCCGGCCGCGCGGCCAGAAGCGTGGTGTAAAATAGTAGCCAGCCACAGCGGATTACAGTAAAGCATCCCAGAGGAAACAGAGAGCCAGCACAACCATCGCTGTCCAGGGATGCGACACAGAGCTTGTTGACTGCAGACAGACACTGATGCGTAGTACATGTCGCACTGGCTCTGCTGGTAGAGCAAAATTGGTTATTGCTCACAGTCACAGCACCGCAAACACTTGGGACACGTCAACACGTCAAGCACGCGCGGCGCCAGGATTGCACACTGCTTTGGCAATGTGGAGGCTGTTTCCCAAAAGCCGCCCATGTCGGACGAGCTCCTATCCGGATGAGAAGATGCACGTCTGTACCTTCAAGGCACACATGATTCTCATTCTGCCGCAGCAAACGTCATGCAGCGTATCATGTTGCAGAAATGTACCAAGCTGTCTACAGCACCTCGTGCCCACATACATCGACATCAATGCGCTGCGAAGTGGGTCATGGGGTGTACGAAGACGAGTGCCGTAACGTTCGGCTGTAGGTTGTGCGTTATGCATTGCTCACCCTTTGCTAGACTCTCTCGCCCCTGACACCGAGCTCAACAGCATCGCACAATAGAAGAAAACAAAAACGGCTATCATGGGAGTGCCAACATGCCGCCTTCTTCGCTCCAACCCATCCGGCCCAGCCATGGCAACGTTGTTGACGATGAGCGAAAACCTGCTGCCATGTGGGGCGCTAACCCCAACCTAACCTAAACCTGGGGGGCACATCAGCTGAGAATTGCTAATTTCGACGTTCCAGAATATCCACGAGGCGATGTGGTTCGGGAAACCGGGGGCACATTTTGCAGCGCAAAAATTAAAATTGATCAGATCAACAGCCCACACTGACGATCTGCCGAGATCAAGATGCGCTGTGCTGGGCGTGTTGCGTTGTCGTGTGGAGTGGTCTTGTGTGCCCTGGTTGATCCAGGGGCCAGTTTCGTGCCGGGGGGGCAACGAGCTGCAGTTGCTGGAAGGGGTCGGCAGGGGGAGAAGCGTCCTCGGTGCGACGGCGTTATGGTGCGGTCGAGCAGCAGCAGCAGCAGCAGCAGCTTGGAGACCTCGACCACGTCTGATGAATATGAGGTGAGAGGAGGGGCGATGAGAGTCATCAGAGACACGGGTCCTGGTGTCCTTTGTCGAGTTTGTGTCGTGTTCATGCGTTGATCTACATATTTGAACTGCTCGTACCCCGCGGAAGGCGCGCTGACTGCCTGCATTTGTGACAGCTGCGGATGATCATGTCAGGTTGCCGTTCTGACGGTAGAGTTGGGTCGCGCAAGGAGTCCGTGTTTGGCCGAGCTGAGTGTTGCTTGCAACGATTGAAAGGAACATGTATATGGAGCTCCTGGGTGGTATTTCTCCTCCATTTTTGCAGGCCCGGGACTCGGTGCTTTTGATCCCCACAACTCTACTTTTTTAGAAGGCGATGTATGCATGTACAGCTGATAGCGCCTAGACACATGGCGTAGTCTATGCATATTGTAGCACCTCCAACCAGCACCTCCTTCTTTGGTATCCGAGAATCCGAGCATGTCCGACGTCCTGGCAGCTTCCTATTACTGCAGAGAAATGGTGGGATGATGATGCGATAACAGTCTGTGTTTATTGATGGCTGTCGGTCTCCGACCTATGACCATTGCTGTTGCGGTCTCTGTCCGCTTGTGATCATACATACGGTGGTGTAAAAAACATTGCTGCTACCAACGTACTTCTCGAAATAGAATATTTGTTAGTCAAGTTTGCGGACCTCTGGTGATCACAGCGCTTGCTTCTCCTTGCTGTAGTTATGTTTTGTGACACTTAGTCCCCCCGGAACACCAATTTCTGTCGTTTACCTTCCGAATTCTTCGTCCCTCAAGCGGTTCTTGTGCTACAGCCCTCCCTCTCTGCATGTTCAGGTCTGCGAAGCATGACTCCACCCCGGCTAGGTCGAAAAGCGTGGGTTTTTTGTGTTGAGTCGACCCACGCGCACTTCGAAGACCCCGCTCGCATTGGGGGCCATGATATTGTAGTACTACAGCGTGCCAGTGAGTGAGACAACGTGTCGACATGATACAGGGTTCCTTCCACACGGTTCGGTGCATGGTTCTTTTGTTTGACCAACACTTGATAGTGTTGAGGAGATGGCGACGTACTCGACAAGACAGTTTCATATTCGTGCGGGAAATCCGGGGTTGAAGTGTTTCGGGTCCCGACAGTCTGTTCCTTCTCTCTGTACGCCCCCCGCCTCCTCGACAACAAGGAAGACCCGTGCTTCAAACGAACCTTGCCATGGAAAACAACGTGCTCGCCCTTTGGCAGTTGCTGCGTGGAGTTTCCGTGAAGAGCGCGTCAAGCGGCAAGGAGATGGACCTCCTGAGCGCGTGGGAGCCGGCCCCGGGCAAGAAGACGATTGTGGCCTTCTTTACCCACACGGCTGACTTCAACTCGTGGTGAGGCAGAGAGAGTGGGGTATCCAACGAACTCGAGAGTGGTCCTGCAGTGAACCCTGATGAAAATGGTGTGAGCCAAGACAGCCCGGGGTCGACGCAGAGGAGCATGGAGACAGGGTAGCACCATCTCACTGGCCCAATCCCCAATGTGCCAGCCTGTGTTTGAGTTCGTCTGTTTGATAAACTGATGCGCCTTAGAAGATACCAAGGCGTGTCATTGCAGCAGCTAGCATACTACGTTCGGGTGCTTACGTTGCCCTCCAACTAGCAGAGTGCGTGCTCTGGTGCTGGGTCGCCTTATAGAAACCCAGGTGTAGAACGGTCCTCATGGTTCCTGTCGCCTCGCTCACATCGGAGACCAGGGCATTGTGTTGTACCGATTTCTCTTGTTCACGAGAGAGGATTGTTCCTATCTCAAGGTCCCTTCTACGCCGGTATGCTCGTCGCCGTCTGTGTTCCTCTCATAGGGAGTACGCGCAAAAGCTTCGGCATTACTTACCGCAGATTGACGATGCAGGCGTCGGGGTAGTTGGAGTTAGCCTCGGCACCGTTGACGCTGCCAGGGACTTTTGCGCCGAAACTGGTTTCCCCCTGGACAACATGTTCATGGTGAGCTGCACTCGAACCTGATCCGCATTACCTTTCATTGGCTGTACCGTATGAAGTTGCGTAATGCGGTGACAATCCGTTGGGTCGGTGCTAGTTGTGTCACATAACACACAGATTATGGACTATTCGTTTCCATTGCCATTTCAGCACCGTTTCAAGATTCCATAAGCGTGATTTGCGCACCGAGACGCCTTTCCTCTGAACAGATGATGTTATTCTTGGGGACTTGTCCGATTTTTTTCGACACGTTCGTTGTTGTCTCTGAGACAAACTGTCATCAATTGATGCGCGCCAAACGGCCGTGTTGTTTCGCCCACGCGTTTCTGTCTTAGCATATTCACATCTTTTTGCGAATTGATGTATTGTGTACTCGTTGTGCAAACATTAGACAGCTTATCGGTTGAAAATGGGGTATGCATATTACAACGGATGTACCGGTCCGTCCAATAACGTTGTTCGTCTGAGCATGGGTTGTTATCGCTGTTGTGCCAATCGCATCGAAGAACGAGTTAAATGATCGTTGCAGTGCTGAGAGCCGTTAGGCCAATTTCGGGAACGCAAACGAACGTGGTACGTACCAATTTGCGACTGTGCAGGATGCAACGGGGCAAGCCTACTCCGCGCTCGGCTTCTCGAACGGCTTCGAACCGCGATTGCCCGGAGACAGGAAGATCAACCCTTACCTTCGACTACTTCCGATGCTTGCTGGCATCGGGTGAGCATGCAAAGCCTTTCTCAACATTCCGGACCTGTTAGGAAAGAAAGCGACAGATCGATTGCGAGGAAGATGTGCTGGCTGTGTGTGTTCGTTCAACACCTGCGTTCAAAGAAACTTCCCGCGACTGTGGGGGCACGGCACTCATAAACAAGCGTGATATCTTCCCCGTTGCCCCGTGAGGCACCCTTGATATGGCCGTACCAGTATGGACAGGATTGTGTTCGAGTACAAGTACGTCTCTGGGCATGTTGATGGAATTCGTCATACAGTTGTTGCGCTCATATATCGCTCCCCTGCCGCATATGGTATTCTGGTCGATCAGCGATTATGGTTTCTATGCTTGGTCGAGATGACGCCATGTGCATGGTGTGGGCGCACGGTGTCGGGGACGCCAACATTTTACATGCCACCCGCTAGGCTCTGCATGCGCTCTTCGATATCAATCTGCTCCAACCCAATTATTGTGTGCGCAGAAAATTTCATGACTCGAATCAATTGAAGTGCCGGACTGTTCCTGTACTTATTCTGAAGTGCGTTCGGCATGCCCTTTTTTTACCGGGGAAGTTGATCCCCACCTCGAGTCATTGTGCAAGAAGTTAACACTCATGATGCGCGGTATTTGATCGTTCACCACGACATAGCAACCACGCCAGTGGGCACACCTGCGGAAGTCATTTTCCCAATTATTTCCGGTACAGTATACTGGCTTATTTCACCCGGGATGCCATGGCGAGAACTCTCCTCTTCCGAGTCGCGCAAATCGCGACTTGTCGATGCTATGAGCGTTTCTGGGGCGATCCGCCAAGGCAATGATGCGTTTGGTGCTGTCCTTTCTTGATGTTCTCATGGGTCTCGGCGTCCAACGTCAACTTCGCCGTGGAATCCCAACCCTCCCGGACGTCTCTGCAGGTCGCCTGGCACTATCCAAGCGGTGAGTTCGGGGCTGCTGCCGACCCTGCCCTGTGCTAGTGCGGTGCTGGCCAATGTTTCCATAGTGATCCACACGAAGCCACGCAATGGCGAGAGCGCAGACTCAAGAGTTGCGGTGATGTGTTTTTAAGCTCGGCAAATGTGCTGCAAGTTCCCACGACTCTATGCGTGCGTCCAAATGTTGTCGTGCAGGCTGTATCATTGTCGATGTTGACCGCTATGACAAGGAGTTTTCGAGTACAATCTAACGAAACGGCAAGACTAATCATAACTGCACCGATGCACGTGCCCTGGTCAATGCATCACTGCGGTAGATGCGCCCGCCTTTGTGTGCACATCGTGCCTCGGTATGTCGACAGTCGCTGACTGGGGCGGCACGGGTCTGAAGGACTCCAAGCTCTCGCTTGTGCAACGCGGACCGCGACCCTAGACCATTCGACACGGAAAGAACGTTCAATAACCTAACGGGACACCTCTACGTTTGCGTGTCTATGTCAGGTTTTGAAGGGGTATGTAGGAGACCCCAACTCGAACGCGGACTGGGTTTCGAGCGCTCTGAGCATGGTCGACAACAAGGTATTCCAAACGGGGGACCAACACAGGACCGTACCGCTCAATCGTTCTCACCCAGTCGGATGTACAAGTTTAGTTTACTTACGTACTGCCCGATTTGGGTAGTATACGCCCCAACCAAGTCCTCCGCATCGCAGAGAATTAGTGGCTTGCGGTGAAAACTCCTATCAGCTGTCCTTCCGGCAGCGACTCGGCAGCACTTGCACGTATGCAGTTCTTTGCTCGCGCGGAAGCTTTGCTTCGCAGTGAAAATCCCATCGCTCGTTGTGTCGTTCTACAATATATTTCCTTTTTTTTTTCGGTAGCACGTGCATGTTTGCTTTCGTGCAAACCTGGGCGCGCAGAAGCAGAGGCCCGTGTGCGGTGTCTACGACATACCACGGTACCTCAGAAATATCACCATCTCATACGTTGTTAGCTGGATGTAGGGCTGTTTTGTCTGTTGGCGAATGGCAGGGCTCTCTCGGAATTGCTTTGCTCCTGATTATGCACGCAATATCGCGTCCCTCGCGTGCTGACTAGAGCGAAGGACTGACGTTCTTCCGGAGGTAAGAAATTCCTTGTGGGTAGTTACACCCGTTTGTTCCTGTCCCCGTTCGTCCTGCTCCTAAGGAGTTCGACTTCCTTGGGACGCGTGGTTCCAGACCCCTTGAGGTCGCCACCTTACGGCTGCAGAACATGCGCCAGATCGTCACCAAGTGGAATAAACTTGCCCCCCCGGACAAAGAGCTGATCACTCAACAAGGAGGGACCGTCGTCTTCGAGGGCAGGGACAAGATCTACAATTACAAGGACAAGGCAAGTCTGTTCGTTGCTTTTCATTGCTCTCGGCTCGACGTTCCCCACGCACAGAAAATTCAATTTTGTTGATGGCACTTTTACCGACCCCTTGAACCATCAAGAGTGTTTGCAAACATCGATCTTGGCATGGTGCGGTGCAGACACTGAGTCGACGTGAAACGCCCGATACAGGTTACCATGCAACGCCCCCTGGTGCCGTATGCATGCCTGGGGGGTGGTGCCTTCTCAAGACCATCACTGTCATATTTGTCTCAGGCCGGTATTCCTTCGTCTGTAGCCTTAAACATCGCAGTGTCAATTTTCCACCCCCTGTTAAAGGCGTTCGATCTAATCGTCTTGATGGGCGGGATCCTCTTCTTTCGAAGTCTGCATTCGGACCACCCCGTTTCTTGCTGCATCACGTTACAACAACCTATGTTTACTCGCGCCTTGACAATCGAGGACACGTGAAGTGTGTACAGCAAATTCATCTAAATTCGTGTAAACCGCCCCAAACGAAGTACCAACGATCTTCGGAACATTACGTGTATCATATCCTGTCCGTCACTAGCACGGCGTATACGTCAACTGGTGCCCGACATGCCCTTGTTCGCTCGTTCGATACGCCACTAATTTATGTAGCCGTGCCGTCCACGTTCCCCTTGCTTACCTCACCAACCGATAGCTCACCATATCGTCGGTTACCCAACTGTGTGCGTCACACAGGGAATCCTTGTCTACACGGACGTCCTCGAAATGCTCAAGACAATCGGTGTGAAGCTGTAGAGTCCGGCGTTCACCGTTTTTATTGTGGCGGTAACCTGGTTGGAACCCCACCCACACTATCTCTTCACGAACGCGGCGTTGGTGTGCTTTTGGCTTCCCGCTGCGATGTACGTAAGCGCTCGGAACACATGGCGGACAGGCGATGATTAGCCAATTTCCAATCAGGAGCTCAAGGCTCGTTTGCGCGGGTTTGAACAGGCTGAATCAATCCCTGCCTAGCTGGATGGGCCGTGGACGGATCGCGTAGTGTTGTGGTTAGAGGTTGTGTGTTCCGCATTTAACGCCCCGTGGTTGATGGTGCCGGAAGATCATCCTTGTGGCAGACCACACCAACTTTCTGCCACTTTGGTGCCACCGAGATCTTGCTGCGTGGGTGCGGAGCGTCCTTCGTCGAGACTTGGGAGCGTTTCCATTCGAGGTGCACACCACTACCCGGGTTAGGCCTTCGATGAGGCCAAATGTTTGCCTCTCTTCCGTCTCAGAACAGCAACGAATTCGAGGAAAGGAAGTCGGATGTCTGTGCTGCTTGCTCTTGTCCGGAGATTGTTCGTTCTGAGAACCTCTGGGGCTTACCAATCCACCTGAGTCTCGGCGGGGTATCTTCTGTATCGTCGTTTCGAGAGAACCGCTAATTTGTGGAACGCGGCAGATTCAGACGGTATTTAGATGATAGTTGGTCCAGTGCCGAATAATGATATGAGGGAAAAAATATTAAACCCGTTGAAATTGGAACGGCAACATCGGGAGCACAAGCAAAAGAAGCGCTCTGCCTTCCGATATGCAGAGACCCGTTTTGGGAGTGGTTGCTTCGGAAAGGGCAAGCCAATGTGGAAGCGCCCGCAACGTGGCACGGGGAGTTTCGATACGCAATTTGCTCGTGTGGGGTGGGACTTTGGACTCCGTCATGGATCCGGAATTTTCGTACAAGTGTCTTGAACCACTCGACGGCGCGCTTCCAGGAGATGACCTTGTTGCGCTCTTTGAAAGGCCAGTGCTGTAGGACACGCGAATACAGAAGGGATTGGAACAACCATATGCGGAATAAGGAACCCAACCAACTTCGTCGATTCGGTTCTTCTCGATGTCTGTTTGGAATCTACACGAGGAAAACACGTCGTGCTCTTGGACCAGGTCCCTTACGTAGGTCGGATCCCGGGAATCACGAGTTGGTCGATAAATAACAAGCACCACCTTTGCCCCTGCCACCAAACCCTATCCATTCTATCGGCAATCGCCAACTCGGGGTCGCCGGTGCTCCCCGGGATAGACGGCTCACTAAGACAACAGAGTCGCACCGGTTGGTCGTCGGTTTGATCAACGGCGCCACCCACGCCTCACGTCGGGCGATTCCTCCCACAACTCCAACTTTGCCTTATTGTTCTGGAGCGCTATCCCGCGTCCCGGGTCTGAAAATTTGCATCAGAGCTTCAGCTGCCTCCATCTCCCAAACCTCGTCGTACGAAAATATGCGATTTCCGCGACTCGAGTCATACGAAAACGTCGTCCTTCCCACCACGTCGATCGTTGGACCTGAGATGCAGACGGGGAAGCAAAACCTTGAAGTGGCCATTGCGGTTGCGACCACACAAGACATTGGTCGTGGCCACGGGGTAAGAACTGCAAGATAAAAACATTTTCACACCCACCGCAGGCGAGCAGAGTTCAGAGGCAGCAGTCTTGCACAAACGTACAGAAACTAAAACGAGGAACATGTTTTGTTTTGCGTAGAAATAATCGTAGGGCCGTGTATTGCCGGGCGTATCACCAGGGCAACTGCAGGGGTATTGAAGTGATCCAATCGATGATACCCTACCAACGAACGCCGCGCGACAGCGAGTAGATCCGGCTTGTCCAAAGCGCCGAAACCTGCGGATGGTCAAGGTTCCGAGTCCAAATCCTGGCTAGGCTACTCGACAACAAGTATTCTTACGTGAAAAAAAACGACCTGAGTGAGATAACAAGGATTGATAATTTCTTCTCACGATGAACATGAACATGAAGGCATCAACACATGGCATTGTTCGGCACGACCTTGGTTCGTAGCTTCTCATGGATGCACGCCACTACGTGAGGTAGATAAGACACCGTGATGGTCTTCTGTCCCAAGAAAAGAGAGAACCACGTCAACTGCATTACACGGTGAAGACCTAACAAAAATCGGGGACTGTGCAAACCGTAATTTCCGCCGTTTTCGAAGCAAGGGTCGACTTGCTCCACCTACGCACCCCAAGGTAGTCGGAGGTCCCCCACCATCCTCCATCGAGTCTGGACGCACGAATCCTCCTGGACAGAGCGCCGGCGACAGACGAAAACAGAAGGACAGAGAAAAAAAGCTTGTTCGCGGGCATATCCGCACGTTTACGAAGAAAATAACATAGGTTCTCGGGGCACATGCCCGCTGGTATCAGCACATGCTCCCCTGCCCTCACGACACAACTGACTCACGCCTCCATCAGCCCTAAGAATGCCTGTGCCGGAAGGTTGAAACAGCGGAAGAGCAGAGCAGCCATTCGGGACCATTTGCTCCATACTGTTGGGCTACATGCCAACCCTTGCGTCCACTTGCCAGCCCTTCAAGGAACGTGGTTCAATCCAAGCACAACTTAGAGAGATTGTATGGGGAAATAGAGACAATGATGGATCTGCGACAAGGGGCACAGGAAACGTGTCCCCAAGTTGTGCCAGCATGTGAGTTTCCATACATGAAAACGTCGTTTGTACAGCGTTCTGACTACTCTCTGGAGCTACGATTCGGATATGTGGCGTGTTGGCCTGCTAAAATCCGCGCGTGCGTTGGCGGGAGACTTATACTTACGCAGCAGTCGGCAAGATTTTATAAAGAAGCAGGGTTTTCTACATAGAAAATCAAATTTCATATTTCTCCAGGGATAGGGGAAGTTACGTCTTAACGAGAGACGCCAGATGCCTTGACAGTCATTACGCTCGACCGACAACCGCCGTCCTTGATCCTGTGGATGACCGCAAACGGGAGATGCGACAAGCACGGCAGTTCAGGCATGTTCGCCATCAACGTGCTGTACCTGTCGAAGCTCGCACGAGTACAGCACGGAGCGGCTGTTACGAACAAACAAATCGAGCACGCCTTGCAGGCTGCCCACGTTGCGTTTATACGTCGATAGCCCGGAGAACGACAGCGTGGGGTCCGTGAAGTTGCAGTCCTCCTGCAAAGGCGAAGCACACGGGAACCCCCGTCGGCAGACAAAACCTTTCAACATTCGCTTTGCATTATGTGTGTACGTTGAGGCTGACAATGAGGAAACAGCAAGAACGTGGACAACGGTCGAGCTACCGTGTATCGTATCGTTTATGGCATACACGAGGACTTTGGCATGGGAGAGCAAAAAGGGCAACCTGTCCTCTACGACAGGGACAGACTGACGGTGTCAACCGTCCGTTGTGAGGATAAAGCAAGGTTCTTCGCTCCTATTGCTGCTTCGTCACAGAGATCGGAATCGGGGCACTGTTGTGTTGAAAGCGTCACCAAGTGCTGCTCGTATTGCAATTGATGGAAAATCCCACAGCAGGCGAAGATTGACGAGAGGGATACCGGCCCGAACGGGTGTTTCAGAAAAACCCACGCCACCCGCATGCACTCGAACGGTAACGATGTTCAGTGGTATGGCCTAAGGAGATGGCTTGCCCTGAGGTGAAACGAACTATGTAACGAACGCAAGCAAACTACCTCCGTCGGTACGGGGTCACGTTGACGGCGAGTCTCACCGCCAAATCTTGCTTCTTGCACTCTACAACATGCGTGTAGTCATTTGTTTTCGACTGCCCTGTGAAACTCCCCGAAGAGCATCAGATGGGAAACCCACCTCATACAAATCCTCGTTGATGTCCCCCGTCCAGAGGTAGTTCTTGGCGTACTCCTGTCTTATACCGGCTTCAAGCTCCGCCTCGGATAGGCTAGCCTTTTTCCGACGGTAAGTCGCGTGAAAACCGAAAGCGTTAAGTCGCACTGGTTTATGTTTGCATGCGTTCGGCCAATTGGAATCATCAATGACAAAAGCATCCGGCACTTGGATTTGAGACACGAACGGTATGTATGTTGCGGCTGATCACTTCATGGAAAGTGCGCGGAGGCCGAAAATCACCGGGAGATGGTGTTACCCGTTGTTGTTAAAGACGGCAATGACCATCACATGCTAACCGACCATTTTTCCCGCCAAACTGGCAAAAACTCTAACCCATTCGCCCATTCGTAGGTTGCCTGTTGAACTTTTCGTTGCCTCTAAGAGAGAGGCACCGCACGGCACGACGTACGTTGACCCTGCAACGCAACTGCCGCGGCGCGCACATGATTTGGATGTACGTGTCGGTTCCACGCCATATGGGCGCGTGACATCAGACAACAGCGTGGAAGGGGACTCAGTATCCCAGCGATTGTTGTGCGATTCGATTATTAAGCAGAGGGCACAATCTTTCCGTCATGAACGATCCCGGCAATAGCTGCACCAAGCATCGAGAGGAGCGAAAGAGACATCGGTGCATGTACATTGTAGTTCGTATGCATACCTTGGCAGAGGTGTCGGCAGAGAGAGCTTCGCTGTCCTCGTCGCCGCCAGCAAAACGCACGAACAAATCGGTCAAGCCACCAACAAACGCTTTGACCGACCCGCTCGTCTGCTCGAATTCAGAAACGGCTGTGCTGTGACTGTCGGTGTCGCCCTCGCCCTGCTCTTGTCGAGGAGCGAGTCGCAACGCCCGCGATCGATATCGATGAGATGGCGCCGCTGATAACCCTCCTGTCCAATACGCCGACGATGTGCAACATCGGTGGTTCATGAAGCTCGCCGCAAGCGAGGAGACACCCAGCGCCAACCCCACAAGCCTCGTAGGGGAACATAATGGTGTCAATGCCATGTGACTCCTAGCCTATAGCACGAGTTGTGGTGCACGAGAGGGCCAGGCGGGGAGGTGTGAGTAAGTCAGCTGGAAATGCGGTGGAATCAAGAGGGGGAGTTCACCAGGTTCGGTAGGGATTTTTTTTTTATTTTTCTTAATATGACACCACGAAACCATCTCCATCATAGAAAAGAGTCTGAGACAGATTAGCAATGGATTCATACTGTAGCGTCAGAAAAGTACCTGTATGTCTACGATTTGTTTTTTTTTTGTTCTCTCATCAACAATGGCGACAAAGATGATATCAAGATATGTTACTACTGTAGTTCTGCAGGGTGTTTCGGTGCTCGCTGTTGTTTCGCGCCCAAAGTTTAGTACACGCACCCTGTGCTTTAGAATCGTCTGGTCTCAACTGGAATGTAAGCATTGAGCTATTCCTTGCTTCTTCAATAGTGTGAAAAGGAAGAGGGGCACCGCGCAGCATCCGCGGTAGATTGTGTGCCGGTTCGACGAAACATTCCTGCGAAACCGTCTTTTTGAAAACGGAGGGGATCATGTTCCAAATCGCCTGTGCTGCACTTCTTCGCATAGCCTCTCTCGTATTGCATTCGAGCACAAGACAGGCACACATTAGCCTCTCGCGATTCTCTAGGTCCCGATCCCAACGACAAGGATGCGTGGTGGTCTTGCTCGCCATTAGAATATAGACGACGGACTTGACATGATGCCGACCACTGTCGACCAGAGAAGCACTCTCCTGGATCCATGGGTGGATCTGTCAAGGGACGGCCGCAGCACCAATAACAAACGAGTTCGTTCTTCTGCAGCTGCCCACAACCCTGCCACTGCGAAGCGTCCTGCGCTATTGCCTGGGTCTCGACAAAGGGACTTGGAGCGAGCCAGAATCCTCGACAAGTATGAAGCCTCGTTGTCGAGTACAGCCTCCGCTAGCCGCCGGGGGCGGCCCGGGTCTCAATCTCCCGCAATGGACGTCTGGGCCCAAGCGCTTGGCGTAGACATTGACAGTTCCAAGTCCGCAGAGAGAGCTCGCCGGAGAGTGGAGCTTGAAGAAGCCGGCCTGCGCACGGTGCCTGGGGCATGGACTCTGCCGGTGCCACGAACTACGAACCAATCGCTGTTACCTCGCCGGAGACCACGTGACCGTGATGCTCCCGGGGGGGCAGCGGGAAGAGCGCGCAGTCCTGTTGTGCCCGAGGTAGATGCGTTGGAAGGCTTCCTCACGGACTTACAAGGTCGGCTGACGTCATTAGAAGGTGGAGCTGTGAGGAACAGCAGTACCGTGGTATCGACGCGTTCTTCTGCGGCAAGGGCGGGTCATGGCGGAGATGTTACATTAGGTGCGACGCCATCGGCGGGCTTGGCCGACATATATGGTATCCCCCAGGCTTTCATCGACAACGCAGAACAGGTGAGGGGCAATGTTTCGAGGATTTCAGAGTATGGCTGCCTCGATGACGTCGCAGGACGATGGGCTTGACGTGTGGCATGAGCTATTCTAGCATCGCAAAGATACACAAGAAGATATTTGATTTATCAGTGAAATCCGCCTCGATATATGCAATGAAGTGTAGGGCAAGGGTATACGCGTGAGAGAAGGTGTATGGTGATGGGCTGAGAGGAAACCGCAGCTTTGAGTTTGCCATGATTGTGCTTGAGTGATGTAAACCTCCTTTTTGGACGCCGCCGGAACTAGACATTTTTGTTCTCGACACTCTAACGCCACCTCAAGGCTGAACAAAGGCAGCCAACCCCGTCCACATGGGTGCAACGGCGTTGCTTTTCTCTGCACGTGGTTCGCCTAAATTTGCTCGGATACTCTAGGCACGAAGGTACTGGAAGGGATAGACAAAAGAAATCTTAGCAGCGCAATGTCCAGCTATATAATTACGGTTTGGATCGACATATGTATATTTAGCCGTTTCGAATGCGTCAATCGTTTGTTAAGGCGAGACAACACTGGGACGTCCACGATGCCAACCTCGAGATGAGGGACGAAGAATTCCTCCAGCGCTACAAACGCAGGGCGCGGATGTCGGGAGTGCAGGTCTCCATCGCGAAGACTTGGCGAGGATTCGTCTTCCGGCGGAAGTTTATGGCGTGGAGAGGCCGAAGGCAGTGGTCCATCAAGGTACACTGCACGATCATCGATCCATTCATGCGTACACGTGAAAAGTATGTGTTTGTTTCCCTGCACACCAATGGCTTTTGTGGGTGTTACTTAGATTGCTCTTCTACCCTCACAGTTCAATTTTTCAAAGTAGTTTTCGTACCCGGCATTTTAGATCTGCTCCCAGGTAGAAGATGCACTCGTTGCCATCACCTTGACGGGGATGGGAAATCCTCTTTCACGTGCGTCACGTACCCTGTTTGGCGTCTTCATGGAGGCTTGGCGCATAAAAATACTTTGTTGATGGGTGAACAGATACCCCGGCCTTCGCAAACGTCCATGTTTCGTGAGGTCAGTCCTTTCTGTGATGGGTACCCGTTTCTCTTGCACGTCTTTAAGCTAAGTGCATCGATTGTGTGGGCGAGCCTCAGTCTTCCAGTATGGGTTAAACGCGTTGCTATTCACGCCCTGATAGGCCTGATTCGAGCATATATAAACAAATCACAGCCAACCACAGACAAATATGGACACCAAAAATACGAATAAATTATTTCACGCTTGAACCGCAGTGCGCGCTACAACAGATAACATGTAAGTTGATACGCCCAACAACATACCTACGCCTTTCGGCCAAAAAGCCTACACCCTCCCGTCCTTCTGCCTGGTTCTTACGCCTGTTCTCCATCGAATTCCAAACTTGTGTCTGTTTCTCAGCTCCACCTCCGCGCGTGGAGGGTCACCGTGAGAGCCCACCGACTATACTCGGAGAACCTCATGCGATCTGTTTTTTCGCACTGGAACGAGCTTGTCGAGGAGGTTGGTGTGGGAAAGAATGATTTTTTGTTTTGTTGCTTGTCGTGTCGAGCGATAGTGTGAGAGCGGGTGGGTCAGGCAACGGGCATGACATAGTCGATGAGCACCAATAGGGGTACCTGGCGGGAGACTGGAGACCACTGTGAGAATTGCCGGATGTTGTACCCTACCAAAAGGAAACCACATATGAACGGGGAGGAATGGCACGGTCTCGATGGACCCATCTGTGGTCAATACAGGCGTAATTAGCGGCGGGAAGAATTACCATCGATTGAAGGAGATTTGCGGCACAAGGAAACTGGAATTCGACATTCGATACACCGTCGCACTCCGGTAGTGCCATATCGCGTACCTCTGAATAGCTTGAGCGACGAGTCACATCATGCGCGATACCACATTGGAAAAAAATCGTTTCCGCACTCTGAACACTCTTACGCAGCAATGAAGCGTGTTGATTTTTCCAACCCAGCATACGCGGTCGTGTCCTAATTTTTTCCACTCGATGCGAACAAGCGGAACTCTCAGTTGCTTATACCCACGTACGCTTAATCGCTACCCATATTGCTGCTCATCCATACGCGCAACGCTGAGGCAATCAGGAGCGCAACGCCCGGGTCGTGGGTCAGTTGTCCTTCCAAGCTGCCGTCAGCAGCACCCGATTGTCGAGGCAAGCCGTCGTTCAATACTTTCAGGTGAACGCAGAGTACTGCGGTGGGCGAACTTACGGTTTTCAGGTTCAAAACGCCTCTTCGTATCTCGCCTGAGGTGCAGTGTACTTGTTCGTCAGATACCTGGAATTACCTGCATGATCTACAAACAACAACGACGCCACCACAGAAATGGATATTGATTCGGGAGCTCGACGACACCTTGTTGCCACACATCCTTTTCAGCTCACCCTGTGTTTCCTGTCCATGTAGGATGACACAGAGCAACGCCATGTTAACTATTGTCCCCTATAGTTCTGTTGGCGGTATTCAAACCTATTCAAATTCTGACCCTGACCTCTTGCCTCCTACCTGGTACTTCCCTCCTATAGGATACTTCAACTCCGTCGGACGATTTGAGCCCCGCGGTACGACGCAACAAGGCGAGCGTCAAACGGCGCATCCTACAGGTGACTGTCCAGTTCAAGCATGGATGGCCTATCAAGATGCCGCTTTCACGGCGCTGAAAACCTTTCTGCCAAACGAATAATGGAAGCTGGTCATCCCGGATATAGAACCCTCGTGCACCATTGAAAGACAATCGCAACGAACGGACGTGGTATTTCATATCTGTGATAGTTTTGGACTATGTACAGATCTCTTCGAATTCTACCACGCATGCATACCCTGTGCTCTGCCTAGTCCAACGGACGATCCAGAACGCCTCTGGAACGAAACTCCCTGCTGCACCTGTTGTAACCGTTATTGTCACAGATCTTATTTCAGGGCTGGAGAGACACGGCCAATCACAAACGGAAAGCGGAAGCCCAAGCGGGGTTCAAAATGTGCAAGGCCGTGCGGCTCCATACCGCGTCCAACATGCTTTGGGCCCCCGAGATTGCCAGCTTGGTGAGACGAAGTTGACGTGGGCTGGCCGTCTCGAGGGCCAATAGCAAGCTTCTCAAGAGTGTATTTCGACACAGTGCCAGTTCTGGATTGGATTCAAGCTAGCGATCCCTTGTGCTGTTCTCGAGCAAATATTTCCTGAAAGAAAAAATGGTGCGAAAGGTCTAGCGACTGGACTCCGTTCTCGGGGGGGGGGTCTGGTTGGCCTTCGAAGTAGTTTTTTTCTTCTTCGAAACACCAGAAGCTCCACTGTAGGGGCAGAAACCATGAATAGTGACAGATGCTTCGGGGCTGTTTGCAATTGCCTGCTGTTTTGTGAACTTCGTCCAATCCACGGGTCGCATGGTGTCCGATCGTGTTGGACGGTTGCGGGGGGTTTCATGCAGCAGAATTGACGACCAACTCCTCGTGCTATTCTTCAAGCCTAATTCCATGCCCGTCTGGTGGGCAAGTCGCCGCCGTGTACCTCGATAGCATTATACATTGCGATACGCGTGTTGATGGTTTGACGACACATGGCGAGAATCTTCCCCACTCGCGTGTGTCTCGTAGCTTTTTCACGTGTGGTCAAGGATGGTCAAGTTCAAGAAGGCCCTACGGGAGGAAATGGAGCCCCCGACATTCCCGCCCGAGGACGGTTTCAAACCGCTGCCCGAGTGGGATACGTGGGTTTCCACCAGGGGCAGGCACTTGGCGCTGGAGCTGCAAGTGAAGAAAACTGGGAGCCAGGTGTGATACGCCACAGTACAGAATACCTTTGCTTTACTGCGGCTGTTGCACGTGAGTTGTTGCTGTTGGTATTACGGTGTCATTTCTGCCGGTCGCCCCGGTGGTCTAGTTGGTATCCTCGAAACCTTCTAGAGGTCAGGTCACGGGTTCGAATCTCGGCGTAAGCGAGCTTTTCTTGCAAAGTGAGTTTTTCTCTCGCTTCCGCTCCTGGCCTAGTGGATAGCGCTAGTTCGTGCGCACACAGAGGGAAGAGAGTGCTGAACTCTTTTGGCATTAAAAATCGAAGGCAAAGTACCGCAGGAGGGGAGGGTTGGAGCAAACGGCACTAGTGCTGTGAGCGCTGATTTGAAGTGAAGACAAAGAAAAACAAATCAAGCCGAACATCTTCTCTAGCTAATTGCCTGTCCGCTTCTGCGATACTTTGCGTTGTCGGACCCGTGGAAACGTCTGGGGTGGGCAGTCATGAGCCCCTAAAGATCGCCCGCACGGAATCAGGCAAATTACTTGTTATCGACGTCTCCGTATGTGTTGTTCACAAGCGTTGAAGTCCCCATCGCACGCTCACATCGGGTGTCATCGGGTGTGAACCGCGTTTGTATTATGTGTGAATTCAGTACTGTCTGCTAGCTTCCGATTCCGTCGCATGCCTTGGCTGGCCCATAGCCACGGGGTACCCTGGGTTTGTCAGGCTACACAGAGGCCAATGGCGACGTGCAGATTCGCGCCCTAATGACGTTGCTGCTGCATTTGCTGGTCTGATGGCTCAGATATTTACACGCAACAAATTTCGGCGGTGGGTCTGGTTTACGAAGTGGTCCCTGTCCCAAGAACAGAGAGAGATAGAAGCTTCCCAGGTGAGAGAAAACACATAGCGCCGGCTAGGGATAAAGTGTTTTCGGTATTGAAAATTCGGTGGATCAAGGTTTCCCTCCCCTTGCGAGCCCACTCCACCGGATCACTGCAGCTTGCTTCATGTTTCATCGTGAACGAAATTACGTTTTTTCTGACGCGGAAATACCCGTCACTGATGGAATACCGCTAGCTCGACAAGGCACGGGAAGAATGAGCCACATTGTCTGCGCTCAATACTGCCCAAACACGTGTCCGCAAGCAGCTCTCTACGCTCGCCCGATAATTCGTCTTTTTTTTCGTCTCGCCGAGTTGGTACGGCGTTGCCCAAGCTTGTGCTTTGCACGCAGTACCTGAAATTTCGACAGTTAACTGTGGGAACACTGCGGTGCCCGATGTGGTCTACATGAAGCCATAGTTGCGTGTACGTTGTCGTTCATATATATTCACACTTGTGTTCCGCTGGCGCGCATTTCTCTTTGCGTCTTTCGCCGTTCTGTTTGAATCGAATCGACGGAATGGAACGGACTGAATTGGAGCAGCACCACGACGTGCACAAGGTGACCAAGGTTTTCGCGGCGTGGGCGAGTGTGTGCCGTGACCGAGGCAGCATGCTACGGCGGACAACCCGGTGCTGGCAAGGGTGGAAACGCTTTACGTCTAGCAGGAAAATATCGAAGATGCTCAAGAAGAAAACCGTGAGTCTTGCACGCTTCTTGCAGGTGCCTTGTGGCGTTGTTGATGCTACATGTTCATTATTGCTGTCGCTCACACGTTCGGCAAATGACCTCATTTCGACACTCCTTCCTTCGTTCAGGTGGAACACATAAGGCTGCTCCGGACCGGCTCTGTGATGAGCGATGTCACGGCGTACGCTAGGGATGGAAAGGTACAGAGGAATGTTACTCGTGGTGATGATTAGGCCCTTTGAAAGCAATTCCGGTGTTTGGGAAGTGAGACTCGGTATTCTGAACAATTCCGATTGATCTTAGCGAAACGATGAGTGCAGCAGTGAACCCAAGTAAACTTCACGAAACCACCTGGGACGTTGTTGGGGGGAAGTGGTCGAACGAATAAATGGTTGTTTCCCCAGAAACGGTCACTGCACTCAGCTGCTTGTCATCGCTCTATGCAACAGGAGGTCGCGATAGTGTCCAAACCCTCGAAAACACTTGGGCAAACCCTAGCGATCTTTTAAGCGGTATTCAACCTTTTTTGACAAATCAATGCGAAACCTTAACGATCACCACGGACAGCACCACTAACGCGGACAACAACAAAATGGTGTGGAACATATGAATGAGGATAACCATAACAATAACAATAACAACAGGCATGTGTGCACCTTGTCTATTCCTCTCTGGTGACAGATATTGTCATCCTTCACCGTGTCCAAGCTACTTCTCACCACGAAGTTCTTCGGGGCAATGGCGCTGGGCTACGTCGCGACAGGGCAGATCACGCAATTGTTTTCGCTGCTGGCCTGGCAGGCGTGGAAGCAGTAAGTAAAGACAGTGAGCTCATAAACTCTATCCTTTCCGGGTCCTTCGTGCGTGTCTTCCAACCGTGAAACTTTTCCAAGGCCAATATATCGATGATAAATGAGGTCAAAATTGGACTAGATTCACGTTGTCACGAAAATCTGTACCTGGACCATCAACCACAACTCAACAGTTGACTACGCTCTATATGAATTCCTCAAGGTTTTGAACTGAAGGTTGCACATTCATACCTGCGGACCTCATCTGTACGAGATGTATTCGTAACTCTTCGAAATCACGCGACTTCGCCAACACACCCCTCGTAGAGCAAGAGTGCAGGGAACAACGCTGACTGACCGGAGACAATTCGCATTCGCGGTAGGTCTCGGCAGAAGAAGGCGGTAAGACTGAAAACATTGGTCGACTGATTTACTTTCTCTCTGCCTGGCAATATATATCACGCAGGTACACCGTCAGACGCCGAAGGTGGAAGTGGCTTTTGTATGAGCACACTAAGGCAGAGGCCTTCCATGCGAGGCAGTCGGTTTTCAGAGCTTGGTCGTATGCCACAGGGAGGAGGTACAGGCCAGATGCTGCGTCGCTCACGCTTTCGGCGGCTCTGCCGTTCAGCACATGGGACCGGTTGTTAAAGAATTACGTGGACCAGGGAGTGATCCCGATGGAGCAGGTGTGTGGGGGGCGACCTTTTTTGCAAACTGAGTCTGGCCATGAGCTACAGTACAAGCGGGGTAAGACCGTCTTTACGGGGAGCTCTGGTGGTCGTGCTTAAGAAGTTCTGCACGAGCATTTGAGTGCATCCCGTTACCACTTACCGCATCGTGTGCTCTATTTGTGTTTTCGTCACGACGACACTGTCCGCGAAACGGTCCGTGACGCAGTGCGAAACCCCACATAAAAGCAGCGCATTAAGCTGCGAGCGAGCGTGGCCTGGCCTCTACGTTGGCACGACTTATCCTTGCTCGCCAAAGTGTCCGCGACAACAACAAAACTTTCAGATGATTGCTTCAGCTCCATCAAGGAGGGGTGCGTCGTATCACCGCGAGTCCTCGGAGCTCTAGGATTTGTTAAACGTTTTCTTGTATGCATACGCTTGTCTAATTCTGCAACGCGTTTCCCGCTTGGTATCTTGTAGCTGCACAAGGACCTGGTGGATCATTCGGTGATGCAGCAGAACACGGCGTGGTGGCTTCTGGGCCAAGACTCCGCCGAGAGACCTATCAGGGATTCATCATCAGCAGCAGTGCTGAGTGGACTCGGTACGAGCGAGGAGGACCCCTCCAGAGGCGGGGAGTCGCGGATGGAACTTCCTAAGAGCGGCGCAGGCGGGGGGGGCGTGCGTGGACGACTATCGCGACATGGTGTTTCGGAGGTAAACGTGTGTTGATGAGGTTAAGATTAGCTCCAGATACGAGGTGCACAGTCATTCCCAGACGATACCCTTGTGCGTTTCGAACGACTCCGGCGCAATGTGCAATGTGAAAAAACACAACACAGAATTTCGTCTACATAGCATGGCTGGTGACACCCAAGGCATTTACAGTAGTTTCCCGTACAACTCAATCAAAGACCCTTCCTTGGTTGAGCTCCTAGGCCGTATACTCCGTAGGTGAAGGAAATCGAGGCGTACGGCTAGCGCCAACCCCGGGATTGATTGCCTAAAACCTCTCCACCTCTTCTTGGTTCGTTTACCCTAGAGCATCTGCCTGTTTGGGTCAAAAACAATTTAGGTGTCACATACCGTACAACATGCGAAGACACGAAGGGAAAACACCTCGGGGCTACTTGATTTCTCGTGTCAAGCATTCAGGCACTACACCACGGTTGGCCGATTCTGTAGTTCCCCGTCTGGTCAGACTTTTTCCAATCGGCACCTCAGCAATCATCGTGCCGTGTCCGTAATGAAGCATGCTACTCGCCCTTGTCCTTACGGTGTTCTTCCCGTCTTCATTTTCCGGCGTCTTCCTGCTGGTTCAGGGGCCCGCCGCCGTAGACTGGCGAACCTTGGCGCCTGCTCTTTTCGTCGCTGTGGATGACTGCGACGAGGCGGAGGTCATGGATGTGAGATGGTTCTAAATAGCAGCAAATGGACGGAGTTCGTTATAAATAGATTAATGCGTGTAGCCAACTGCAGTTGGAATTTAATACCTCTTTCATGATACCGGGTGGTTTGTCACTGACAATGTACGATTCTGACATGGGTCTAGCGCCTGCGCTCGCCAAGCATTGTTTCGGTGTGTCCAGGGTGGCTTCAAAATGTTGCCCGTATCGTATGTATTCATTGCCCAGGGTGGTGGCAAATCGTCAGATGCGGCGGTGAACGGCCTATGACAATGAACATCAGAGAATTCGTCGGACGTTCGATGCTCGTCAGGTCTCCCGTCAGTTCACAGGTGGCCAGGATCTTCGTGGTTGAGGCGCTCCGTTGACCTTAGCTCCCCCCTCTCTTTCACGTTGGTTTACCTTGAATACCGACAAATCACTTACCAAATGTTTTTTGCTCTTCTTCGATGGCGACTACGGCAGCTGTTGCACCGAGGAGCCCAGGTAAACTGCGTGTATGTGCCCCCCGAGAGTGCTCCTCTCAGCGATGGTGGTGTCTCGAAGCGGTCAAGGGGCATCACCAAACAAGGTAACTCGCTGATTCCAAAATAGGTCTAGTCTACAGGTCTAAATGTCAACTGTTTGTGGTGATCGAAGTGGATTGAGGCTTGTAGAAAGAAGATTGCTTCTCATCGACGACCGTGCTTGCTCTATAGTACGTTAGAGGGGCCACAAACGGCGAGGTCTTTGCGGCGCTGACACATGATGTGCCAGCAACCACTAGCCATGATGCGAAAATGAATTTTCGATGCGGCCCAAGAGTTTGAGGGGGGAGTGTATGAACAATCATTGAAGGTGCTGACGAAGCGGCTATTCACTGCCGGTTGTTGTATTTTCGTTTTTTGGGGGGAATGAGAAGGCATGCACACCTCTCTGAGGCTAGGTGATTTCGTTACCATGTCTCTCTAACGCGGTTCCAAAGCGTACCCCATATCAACTCCAAGAACTTAACGCCCGCGATCATTCGTGTTCCGGGCTAGTGATCCCGAACGTGGTTGCTCTCGTGCCATTGCTTTAGTGCAGAAACAAACCTCAGACTCGTGCTACGATTTTCCAACGCCAAGCAGATAGAAATGGTGGTGAATCCGGGAGTGGAATCTTGGGGGTCGGCCGAATCTTGGACCTACCCCCACCAGCACTGATCGCCCAGTCCGACGGAACCTTCCAGGTGAATGGACTTTCGGTCCAGACGCATTATTCGACGAGTTCGCGGGTCATTGTTTCGATGTTACGCAAGTGGGTTGGCGAGCGGGGAGCATTTTGAACTCGGTTCCGTGGCTCACCGATTCTGCGCATTTTCCAGTCAAAGCTATCTGGAAATACAGAACTTTATAATCGGTAATCTCGGCACTGAGTCACCCTCCCTTCACAAGAGACACTTGAAGAACGGGTGGGACAGGCGGGCTGAATAGTGAATGTTTCGTTCTGTCAACGAGCCTGTTTCTCTTGTAGGGGTGATTGTGTGCGACCTATCTAGCTCGACTAAAAGGCGTGGGTCTCCATCTGCTTGGTGCCAGATGAGGGGAACCACCCCCCTGCACGCGGCGGCCGGACACTTCAGTGGCGACTACACCTCGATTGTCGTCGCCCTCCTACACGCCGGAGCTTCCGTGGGCGCACTCGATGCCGCCGGGAAAACGCCTCTTCAAGTCTGCACCAGGTATAATTGTATGGCACGTACACACATGTACCGTACAACAGCGGTTGTACGATGCTGTAGTGGATGATATCGTCTCTATTGCATAATGCGCCAAAGTGTGTCGTTTTTGAGTTACCGTGTGGTGTATCCCAATGGAAATCCTTGTTTCACGTACAGTTCGACCACTTTCCAGCGCGTGGAATTGTTTTCATGCCATGCTGAAACATGTTTCGAAAACCCGTTTGGACAACACGAGTCAAAGTAATTGACCCCATACGTGTCTTTCCGCACCAGCTCGCACCTACATAGCCCCTCTACAACGTCAAATATCCCCGTCCGCAGCCCCCAAATTGCAGCTGTACTGAGCGAGCATGCGAATCGACTACAACCGCACAAGTTTTCTCCGCAAGAACTCCGCTGGGGGCAACAGGTGATGCTTGTTGTCTAATCTTGTTGTTTTTATGGATCACGGCGGCGGAGGCGGTGACTGTGTGCGTGTCGCTATTGCAAGAATTCGGCCTTGCGCGTTTTGAGCTCCACGGAGAGGAACCGCGGTCCCTCTCACCCTGCGTCAGGGCATCCTCGGTTGCCCGGTCTAGTAGGTATCAGTATTGAAGAAGGATCAGACGGCCTTCCGTGTCTGAATCACCCGCCTACTGTGTTGTTCTGGTCGCTATTCGATCACGTCCCTCAATAGTTTTTTGCGTCCAACTTGGCGAGTGCTGTGGACAGCCGCGACATCCGTCTGATACACCAGCACCATAGCTCGACATCCCGCTTGGCTTGGTATTTGGGCCGGTCTTGGCGTCAAGGGGGGACGCGTTAAGGCGATGCCAACGTCGCCACACTAGTCTTTGCCTCATGTGATAACATCCGTTTGCAATGTGTGTGGGGGTAATTCTGCATGGCTTTCTCCCGACAGGTTTGGAAATCATCTCAACCCAGCACCGACACCTTCTTTTCCATTTTATCTGAGTAAGGCCTTGGACCCCCCTGAAACGCATGCGGTGCTTCTTGATTGGGATTTGAAAATACGAACCACCACCACCAACATCATGATCAACCAAGAGCGAGGCACGAAAACGACACGTGACTGACTCTGCTGCTATCTTCGGCCCTTCTTCCTTCTCGCACCCTTGGTGTCGGCGAGATAGATCTTGACGAGCGAACGGCACGGCTGCGGCGCCACAGGTTTGTGGAGGTACGTCGTCCGCGCCGCCGTGGTGGCCAGGTTGGACAAGCTGAGTGCCGCCTTGCGTGCGGAAGACACGCGTGCCGAGGACGATTCCTCCGAGGCTACTCACCAAACGAAGCAACAGCAGCAAAAGGGCGGTCGCTCTTCTCCGCCTCCAGGGATGGGTAAGTAGAGTGGTTACTCCCTCCACAAGCTATATCCTCTTGTAGTAGGTTTGTCTTTGTGCAACATGCTAAGTACCGTCGTGCGCTGGGCGGGGGTGGCACGAGACGAAACGAATGCGGGACAAGTTCCTTTTTTTTTGTTCTGATGCCGTGGTGTTGTAGAGCTTTGTGTTTTCCTCTTGCATGGAGTCATCCACAACTTGCAGCAGATGGTGTTCTTTGATTTTATCGCGATGACGGACGTAAGCACGATTTTTCTAGGTGGAAAATCTTCCTGTTCATCATTTTCACTCACCAACCTTCGAGGTGTCAAGTGCCCTGCCAATCAGCCACCTGTATTCGCCAGCGACGACATGATCTTGGTGAACGGGATTAGTCTATCCCCGGTGTGTGTGTATGCATTGGAACCACACGTGCAGCTGCAGGCAACAGCTTTGGTACTACCAACGCCAGTACAGGAGCTGCTGGCGCAACCGGGCTAGATGAAAGAGAAAAGGAGCTGATTCGGATGAAAATGGAGAACCTGGAGGCCACCAAGACCATTGTGGACCGTGAGCACGTCCTGCACAGTGGGGGTACAGGAGCACCGGGGGGGAGTTCAGGGGGAGGAGGAAGTGGGGGTGGGTGGGGAGGCAGGTAAGCGGTAGGCGGAAGCTGCCCCATTACCGATTCGCTGCTAATCGAGTAATGAAATACAGCGGTCAATATCGTTCAGCGTTGGTTTGAGGGTATCTATTGTACAGAACTTGAAATTGCGCTCCATTGTGGAACCCACTGCCTTAAATTGATTTCGACCTTACGGTGAATACCGGACGGATACGGTACTGAGTGCCTTGTACTCTCTCTCAATATACACGGTGCCACGTGATTGCCTCCTGCCACTTTTTCAGTGCGCAACACGTCCGAGACCTCTTTCATGATTTGGACAAAGTGATCACGCTCCGAGCTGCCGCGAAGGAAAAATCAGCAGGGAGCAGCAGCGCCAGTTGGGGCAAAACCAAACGAAGGTCTGTTGCTGTTGCGGTTGCCGTTACTGGTAACGCTTTTGTGCGTGTTCCTGGTCCGATTCCTCGAGTGAGAAGAGGATGTCCTTCGCGGCTACTGGAAATCTTTCGTGTGGGCGTCTAGGCGAGAGCAGTCGAAGCCTTTCGCCTGAGGCACACTTTCTACCCCCATATGGATTCTCGGATTCCAAACGCTGGACCTCAATTAAAAGGGCTTGCACGTGTGAAGTTCATTTTTGTGGAGGAACGAGTTCTCTAGAAGACGTTCTCGAACAGACGCGCATATAAGGATCCGGCGTGGATAGGCGGAGGAGATCATTCGAAAGGAACGACTCCCCACCAGGAAATGTTAATGTTTCGTCACGCGGTTGACTCTCATGCGCCACCCGCCAGGCAAACATATCTTCTCACGCTACCAACATCTACTTGCTATTTCATCTACCGCTGTATCATCTACCTCTCTATTCTGTCTGTCTGCTCTCTTTCAAACACCATATTCCTCTACTGCTCCCTCGAACGTGCCTCTTCCATTGGCTCTGTCACAATAATATGATATTTTATTATCCGCCCTACCTCTTGTCCGACAGCATCGGCGTCAGCAGAGGGGATAACCACGCGACGAGCAACCAGCGCACGGGGAAGGAGCGGACCGCGGCCGACCACCGGAAGGCGTTCTCGGTCTACAGGGCCAACGCCGCCGGCTGGTTCCGGTCTTTCCGAGAAGAACTCATACGAGCGAACATGCTCTCACCTCGTGGCACAACCGCTCAAACGAGCGTTGTCGACACTGCTGCTCACGCCGGCGTTACTGCAGAGAAGAACACCGCGAAGAAGGTGTTGGCAATCGTTCGTGATGCGGGTGTCGACAGTCGCAGCTCGGGCGCGTCCCCGGGAGGGAGCAGGGGTGTGGCCAGGGGAGGCGTGGGTGGTGGCGGGAAGTTGAACCCCATGGTGATGAGTGTCGGAGGGGGAGGAGGGATGCTAGGGCGTGGGGGAAACACTAGGTATGTCAAATCGCGTTCAATGGTTGCACGGTGAAATTCGGCGTGGTTGTGTTATTTGTTCATACTGGCGTCCTCAATGCCGTCCAACCTCGTACGCATACGTTCCCAATCGAACCAAAAAGAGGAGCGACGCACGTTTGGCTTGTTCTCACACAAAAATATGACCGTGTTTTGCGTGTACAATAATGAGACTTTGTAGTCTTTCGACCCTACGAAAGAATTTTCCATCAAAACCAGCAAACAACGCCCCTTTGCAATAACGTTTTCCACGTTCGCATTTTCTTGTCCCCGCCTCTCGTCCACCCGTTTTGCGTGGGAACCTCGGCCGGTCACCCCTCGCGGGAACCAATGACGAAAACAGTGGCACAGACGCCTTCACCATGACAGAAGTGCACGGCTGTTTCATGGCGCTCAGTTCGGTGCTAGAAGAGCGGAAGCGGGTGATGGACCGAAGGACGGCGAGGGACAACGGCCTCATAGAAAGGGGGAACTGGGTCGGGTTGCAACGGGCGATGGAAGCGAGCAAGGTGAAGTTTGTCTACCCCACGTGCGTTCTCGGACCGAGGGGAGATGGGATCGTGCTTCCCCCAGCACCGAAAACCAACCTATCCCGCTTGTTCGTTACTCGTCGGAATTGAAGCTTATAGCAATTCGTTTGCCGGCTTACCAATGCAGCAGCACGGGCAGCAAGATGCCCACAGCACGGCGTCCTCAAAGAGTGGCAAGAGAAGGCGAAACAAGCGCACCCTCTCAGGTCGAACGCACCACACAGCAACGACGACACCGACAGCATCGGCGGATGGCTCTTCATCTCTGGGCCCGTCTTCGAGTTCCACGGCAACGGGGGGCCACCGCTACGGTGACTTGGTTCACGAAGAGCCCGACTCGGGCCTCGGGATAGTCGTTGGGGGGATGGCAGGAGAAGGAGTCCAGAACCAACAAGAGGACCGAGCCGCGGCTGGGGAGCTCACGATCGACGTTTTACCGACGTCCTCTTCGAAGCGATACCATGCCGCCAGCGTGGCACTACGAGGTACCGTCGACATCGAGGTGCGGACAAGACTAATCACAAAACATGGTTTGCTCATGTTGAGGGCAGCCCGTCTTACCCTGGTCGGGTGGCAGCGCCATGGTTACATTCTCCAGGGTAGGTTGGATGAGGCTACATGACAAACACAAGACGAAATGAAGACGAACACGCGACTCCATCGGGTGTTTGTAATTCGATGGGGCTACGGCGGAAAATGCCACCCTGCCACACGGGCGTGTGTCCTGTTGAACGTGGTTGTGTATTGATTGTGTTTTTGATTTAGGGTAGCAATATCAACTTCTCCCCACATCAATATGGTACCGAATCGAAGTCGTCCTACCGTCTCGACTCGGCACTAACACCACGAAACTGGAAAGGTGCTGCGACGTGCTCATCTAACGCTTGCGGCTTGGAAGAGGGAAAGCGTCACGGACGAACCGGGCGGCGATTTCGGCACAAGGCTGGCCCAAGCTAGGAGGACAAGCGTCAGTAGAGGCGTCATGTCCAGGGTGCCGCGCTGGTGGTGGGGCCGGGGAGGGGAGCGCGTCCTGGCCCTCATGCGGGAGCAAAGGCGAAAACTGCGCGAAAAGGGGTAAGTCCGCTCGAATCCGAATCTGGAAGGTACTGCTAAGCTTGGCTCTAGACAGCAAAGTAGTTCGACAACTACTTCGTAGTCTACGGCTTGGTACAGTGCTTTGGCGATATCATGCTGCGCCACGCCTTCTACCTGGTTCCCGGCGCCGTGCGAAGGGTTTCCTCAAGTGTGCTTGTAGCAAGACAATCTCAACGTGGACTTTGTACAATCGTTCAGAGAGCCGCAACGCGTGCTTCACGAATGCTGCAAACAAACCAAACGTCCCGGCCTTAGAATTTGATTCTTGGGAGTGCGGTTGCCCCTCTCTTACTATTAAGAGGCCATTCATGAACGACCTTGTCCGCAACGTACGACCGTTTCTTTCGTCACTCTTTGTCTCTTGTTCTTCCCCTTTGTCCCGACATCAAGAGCGATGCTAACCGCACAAGCGAAGGAGCTATCGGATCGACTTGCATCCAAGTCAGAGAAAATGAAACATGTACGTATTGCGCTAAATAGACATGTGTGCCACCACGGGAAAACTTAAACAGGCCAGGCGGACATCTATCAGGATATGTTGACCTACTCCATGTTTTGATTTCTTCGCGTGATGCCCTGGCCATACCAACCATTGCCCCAATCGCTGAGTTTCCGAACTGATGCGCCCAACGCATTCCGTGGGTAATCGTCCAAACAACCGGAAGGCGTCATGGTGAAAGCATCAATGGAGAACTAAATTTCCGCGCCCGCATAGCGCCCATCTGTGGCACCAAATTTGAAATGGTGCAATTTTCAAGGGCCTAGGAAAGCGAAGTTGGCCGTGTATGGGGCTGGTTGAGGGGCGCTTTTGGCAAGCTTTTGACGCTTGGACACGGCAGCAGGACAAGGGAACAAGAAATGATTCCTCCCACTCCCACCATCAATGTCTGATCTTTGCCGAGTGCACCATGAAGAACTGCAACAGTCCTTTGAGCTGCCAGGCCTGAGCCGCAGTCCCAAAGAAATCGAAGGAGACTAAGTTTCCAAATGTTAAGGTTTCTCGCCGCGCCTCGGTTCATTCCATATTCTGAAACTCGGTTGTGTGTTGTCTGGACGAATCCAGTCCGACAACCCCCTTGCCTCCTGTCTTGAGCACCACGTGTTTTTTTGCGTATCGTCTTTTGCCTTTCAAGTTATGGTGGTCCGCTCGACGGCTGCGTATGCTGTCTTGGAACCGCGGTAGACTACGTCTCGACCTGTCTTTCCTCGACTCCGTGCTTGTCTCCCCTCTCGCTCCTCGTTTCCTCTTCCTCCGTCTCCAGCTCAACAGCAGGGAGCACGAGGTCGGCACGACTGTCCGCGACGTCGCCATGGAGACAAGGAAGAGCGAAACACGGTTTCGAGAGGACATGGAAAGGCAAGGGGAAGTGAGAGAAATGAATCCTGAAGGGTGTTCCGTCGTATGTACGAGTGCGAATATCGCGTCCCACGCAAGGCATCTCTGTGGTGACGCCCTTGTCCAGAACTCTGTCTCCCTGGATGTGACAAGGGGGGGATCTCACCCCCCGCTGTCTCTTGCGCATCCTTATGCGGGATGCGTGTAACGTTTTCACACACTTGGATACTACAGTGAGGTATGCTCTCGAGAGTAACCTTGGCCTTGGATGTCTTCCATGCAATCCAAAACATGTGACTGAGACATATGGGCAAGGTTACAAAAAAAGACAATCATTTGCCACATCACCGTCTGTTTGCTGTGTGGGTGTTCATGCGCACTACCCATCCAAACCTGAACGGCACCAGCAACGATCTACTGGACGGGGCTCCACAGCTGAGTAGTTCGTTGAGAAAATCCGAGGATCCCATGCAAGCTTTTGGGATATCGTGCTTTACTGCCATCAACTCACCGGGGCAACTCTCATACGACTCCAACCAGATGGCAGAACAAAATCCAGCAAGCGCAAGGGAAGATCCGAGCCATCGTGAAGAAGCGAACAATCGTTGCGGAACAGGTGTGCTTTCAGACGGCTGAGCAATGATTGCACATATGAAGTCGTAGTTCGGAACGTGGACCTTTGCAGGGCTCGAGGAACCACAGGCGTTAACACCACGAGTGAGTCTCCGACCACAGATGCACTGATTGGTAGAGGGTTGAGCTCTAGCAACAACCTGGCTTTCCGGTGAACGATACCGCAAACCAGCGGAACGAAGGTTCTATGTACTAAGAATATGCAGCCCTCCAGCTTTTTGGTCTATGCTATGCTGTGAATGGAGAGTCTACCTTCGGAAACAATACCACCTGATACGAATCGAGTGCCATCGCGTGCTTCACGATATAATCGAAAGGCATACAATTTTTCGCCGTTGGTCATTGTTATTTGGCAAGCTAAAGCGTGCTTCAACATTGTCCTCCCTCTTGATATCATAGACAGCCGAGATGGAACATTTGCTTGCTAATTGGGACAACCGGGAGATACCGACTGCATCGGAGCGTGCCAAAAGGAAGAAGGTGCGGTTCTTCAGCAATTCGTCGGAAGAAAAGTGTATGACTTAGCCACCGTCATACCCTCGCTGCTCAGTAATAAAGTGCCATCGAGGCACACAGGACGAAGGCAACGTGTGCCGGACACGGATGAAATCGATCTCGGCGCGGCATCATGGCCTGTAATTGCCAGCAACACTATGTAGATCATGTTCTTCTCCTCAGCACCATTGGGTTGAGAAGACGTACGCCATACGTTCCATTCTCCGTTTTCGGCGAGGTTCGAACGAAGAACCTTACAGAAATACCAATGGTATCAATAGTCGAACCATACTTCAACGGTGTGCAGTACGACGTCGGTGGTTGCATCACATTTCGTATAAGGCGGGCGATCGCTTTGGACTTCTTCTGTCTGTGTACACCTCCGCAATGCTTTGCTTCGTGTTTTTCTCCGGCAACAAACGCCCAAGGACAAGGAGGAGGAGGTAACCCCAGACACGCTTCGAAGAGACATTGATGCCAAGGTGGGTGGTCATCACGTTATGCCGCTGTGCATGGTCAGGCTCTAATGTGCCCACCGTTGCATCGTTTGAAATGGCCTTCATGAACCAAGGGGGCATCGTTCAGGGGCGTTGTGGAGCTCGCTGAACCACGCCTACATATGGTTTCGACAATCTACAGTAGTTTGTTGACCACAGAGAAACGGGGCTGTAGTGATATTGCGTTGGAATCCTGGTCATAAGGTAGCTCTGTACCGCAACTCCCTTGGCAATGGACACCAGCTAAACAACCTACGGCTTTCGGCTTTGAATGCTCATGTCTTGTCTCTTTGTAGCGCGCCTTGACAATCAGCCTATCGGCCAAGGAGAAGCAGTGCGTCAACAACATCGAAAGCGCTAAGGTGCAGGTGGAGGAGAGCCGAGTGTATCTCGTGCGGATACAGGTGATTGGGCCCGGATCGGTGTGCTCATTCGTGCTATTACACAGTTATACCCCCCACGAGAGGCATTCATCTAGACTATTGTACATCTAGAACCGCCCTTGAGTAAAGCAAGGTGGCTTCCAAGAGTGCAAACGCGCGCTTTTTCCACCATGAACTCACGAGGTCTACTGAATGAACCTTGCATATCGTATGTCTGACAGGCCCACATGGGGTCGAGGTTTCTCGGCCTGGTAATTCATCACAGGTGTTGATGAGTCGCGCAGGGTATTCATTCACAGATCACAGGCTTATCGATCAGTTGTCCGGGCGAGCACTGTGTCCTTCGTACCGGACCAACATTGTGCCGTACCGGCGCCGACGAAAGACGCTCAAGAAAGGAGTGCTTCGCGGGAAAATCTATTGACGACTTTACATGTAGCAAACACGTACACCTTTTTGCCTGACTGTAGTGGACAATCTGTCGCTGATGAAGACCGGACGACTTCACGGAAAAAAGCGTTGCTGGCGATACGTACCATTCATACGTGCTGCCTTGTGCGCGCGCCTGAATCAACTTCAACAGTCCATCTTGTCGAAATACGCGAGCTACAACATGGGAAAGATGGACGCGCTCGAGAGAGAATTTCAGGAGTGCTCCCGGCAACAAGAGAACACCAGGGCTCGACAAACAACTGTTGGAACGTGAGAGCTCACATTTGCATATTTTGATCCAAATGCTGGCAATTGTCCTTGATATTGTATACTGTTCCCAAAACTACATCAATGAGTCGTTCGACATTGTTTTTGTTGTTTCGCCTACTCGGGACAAAATGTCTTTCACCCAATCTTGGAGAGATCGACAGCCTAACAGTCCACTATCTTCTTGATCAGCGCAATGTTTTGTCCGGTCGACCCCGGGGTGAGCATTATTTTCCCGAGCGCCTGCCATCCAATGTCGACAACAAATCTAAACTTGTGCCTCCTGTTTCACAAGTACCCGCTATATTTTCCAGGCGGTTGGACGAACTCACCGACTCACCGAAGGAATCTTCACCCTCGTCGCAGCTCATTCGATTAGTGCAAGACGAGCATTCCTCTACCAAACTTGTAGACCCATCGCTCCCGACTACCATATTATTCACACATCAGGCAACTCAAATCTCTCTTCAAGCGTCTGGAGGAGCTCGAGGATGCCATAGCCATCCTGAGGCCGTTATCCACCCGCACGAAGTCCGACGGCCCGTCCCTGCGGAGCGACGATGAAGCAAAGCGGGATCAGAACCAACCTTCGACACATGAAGGGGGTAGACGCTCCACCAGCCGCCGAGGGAGCGGAGGCAGTGGCGTTGACTATGAACAGGCCGAACAATCGCAGACGAAGCGAAAACGAAGCTCCGACGAAAGCGGGATCGAACTCGGCACAGATCGCTGCAAACGTCAGCTTCAATCACTGGATAACTCTTGTTGTGTCGACAACGATGCCGACATCAGCAGCAAAAGCACAGGAAGCGCCAAACCGCGGTTTAGGTCAAGTGAGGGGTCGAGTGGGTCGCCAAGCCAGGCAAACGCAGCGCACAGGGCGATGGCCTCCTTGCTCGCCCTTATAGAAGAAAACACTGCAAAGGTGGACACTGACTTGGTCTCGCTGGAGAGCAACGAGTCTGCCTCCACCCCGTTGTGAGTGCGAATAGTAACGAGTGACTGGAGCCCCGACCAAACCCCTCCAGTGGCGGGTCCAGTTTAGTGAGCCCTCTAGGGTCAGGAGGGGAAAACCTCGGCGAGCAGTGTCTGCCACTGATTCACAATATTTCCGTTGCTGCAACCTCCAGCAGGTAGACTACGCTCCCAACGAAACTGTGAGCTTTTGCCAGTGACACTGCTTGCACAACGAACGTTCTACTGTTGAAAGGAGAAATAAGAATTACACTTGAACATAGAAAAAGTATCCACCCCCTCATTTAGCTGGAGGTCGACACAAGTGTGTCCAAGATTGGCAAGAAAAGCACACGGCGTCGTATCCGAAACAACTCGATGCGATTAAACTTGTTGTTCATCTGTCGCATTCCAGGGAGGACTGTGCATTCATCGAAAACTAGCCCTGAAACCCGTCCCGAATCAAACTGGTGCCCTTCGAATAGTGTGAAAAACTCACGACTTCAGCGTCCATTCAAACATTGCAGGACCAGGAAGGGGAAAAAGCGCCATCCGAAGCGACTAAAGCCCGTGGGCAGCACCAAAACTCACACTGCGGCCACATCGAAGCCAGGTTGGTCAACAACGTAAAATATTGGTGGTTTGGGCGTGTATTCTCCGGGTGTGTTCTGACGATCAGTGGTTGTGACTTGTTACAAAATATTGGTCGAGTTTTGCCTGACAAGAGTGTGTCGGTTCATCTTTGCGTTTTCACACCCCATCCTCCTGGCAGGTACCCCTAACTCCAAGGAAATTCCACACCCCATTACGATCCCAACCCCCTCGGCGGGGGAGGTGGTGCCAGGAGCCCCCACATCCCCTGCACCGTGGCCTGCCGAAGGGGAAGCTGCAGGGTCGTTGTCTGCACGGCTACACCCTGCTGTCGATCCATCCGTGTCGTCGGCATCCCCCACCATGGCAGTGAAGTCGTCATTGCCCGAACGCCGGGAGAACACCCAACAGCTACCGAGCCAGCAGCGGCAGCAGCGAAAACGGCAGCAACAAGGTTCTCCAGGAAGAAAGAAAAAGGTTACGGCGAAGAAAAAGAAAGCGTCTCCTCGAAACGGGCGCAAGGTCGCCAAAACGGTCGCCATTGGCACCAACCGTAAGGCTATTAAAGAAGGGCGGGGGGGGATTGTGGCAGTGGCGTTAATGGAGGCTGTCGGGGACCAAGAGCAAACAGAGCAAACAGAGCAAAATGCCGGCGAAAATGCAACCGTGGTGGAGGGGGTGACGGAGTTGGCGAAAGAGTCGATGATGGGTCTGACGAGGGCGGAGCACGAGGAAGAGCTCCGGCAGGCGAAGGAGGCCAGAGATCTCGCAGAGGAAGCGGAGTGCCGGAGAATTTGGTAAGCACCGACATGTCTCAAGCAGTGCGCGAAGGAAGGGTATACACTGCGACAAAACACGACATTGTAGCATCTGATGTTGCATGAAAGGTCGCGGAAACAGCGTAGAGCGCACCCATGGAAGATTGGAATCCGAGAGGAGAGTGAGAAGTAGTAGTGACGAACATGGACGGCGACAACGCACAAGGTGATAGGATAGCGTAACGGAAATGCACATGTTACACAGTTCTTCTGAATACAGCAAGTGTTTTTAAATGATGAACGGCACAACCCCTCGGTAACCTAACACGTTAGGTCCAGTACACCAAGCTTTTCCGTTTTCAGGCGGATGATGCAAAACGTTGCAGAGTAAGGTTTTAATGAATGTTCCGACAGGGGTGAGGAGGATGCTGAGGAGCAAGAAGCATGGGGCGCTACACGAGGGGCAGAGGATGTCCTGAGGATTGACCCGGAGCTGAGCAAGGAAGAGGTCGTGAGACTCCTCGCCACGCAGTATGAGCAAGCGTTGAACCAGGTGATCGATAGCAGTGCCACGGTGTCTCGTCGAGTAAAGCATCCTTTCAGCTTCCCCCTAAGCTATTGTGTTTTGCCGCCGAAATTAACATGGCCCACAACATACGTGTTCGTAGCGTGTACCGCTCTACTTGGGTACCAAGAACAGAAACCTGTTCATTTTTCTCCCAACGATCCTGCACTAACAGACGTTTCAGCCAGAAAGGCGGGAAGCCATCGCGAATCGTATTGCCCTCGTAGAGGCAGAGCAACGGGAGAAAGAGCGAAAAGCGGGGAAAGCAAAGCTGGCAGCAGAGAGCGAACCTGAGGTAATCCCAACGTTAAACACTCTGATTAATGTCGTTTTAGGGTATTTGAAGTTCTAGGAGGGAAGAGCAGATGTTGACTGTGAGCGATTCCTGGACGCTTATCAGGAACAACAGCAAACGCACTACCACAAGTGTGGAGTCTAGGCATGGAAATCCTCTACTCGTGGTGGCGGCAACTTTGATCAAATTATTGATGGCGAAGAAACCCTCTTGTTGAATGTAGCATACCCGGTAGAGAACATTTCGCAACTCGACGTTTCGGCAACGGAGAGTGCGTCTATGAGGCCCCTGGTTGAATATACTCTATTCTGACTGGCATCACAATCAATGCGGCCGTTGCTCACGTGTGAGAGGAAGCGGGCAGGGGGAAGTGCAGCAATTGGAATACGCGCTCGAGAATGAACATCTCGACGACGTATTCGTAGGTCCGAGGCTACCTTGCAGGTGGTCGTTCATACGCCCGAAATCTACTGAAATATCAAAGACTGAATTCATTCGAAACCACGCAGAAGAATGAATCCGAGCCAAAGACCAAAACTGACCAAGACGGGGAAGCACCGACGGAAGAAAAGGCGGGAGACATTGGACACCTATTGAATGACCCTGGGTTGGGGCTGACCCGTCAAGAGATCGATGCTCTCTTCGACCTGGTCGATGGCCATGATGAACCGGCTGGTGGGCACCTGGGTTCTGAGGGTGGCGCTGAGAGTGACGCTGCCGCACGGAGACAACGCCTCGCTACTCGCGGGCTGCTCCGGTTCTTACAGAGGAGGGGGTTGCGACAACGTGAGCGGGCGTTGTCGGCGGTAATGTGTTCGGACCTAGCCCAAACAACGACGCTTGCTTGCACAGGGAACACGCAGAATTTGACACGAGCCTGTGACGTGCCACATCTTTGAGAACATGATGGCTTTGTGGTGCATGTCACAGACGTTATTAGCTTCTCCGGAGACACTTGACTGACAGTAGTCCCGATTTGTTCCGCCTGTTCTCTGCTCTTTGCGTGGAATCACCCGTTGGCCGTCCTCTTGGCTGCTGGGACGTGATGATTGGAACATGATCGGAAATATCATCGACAATAATAGCTTCGATGGAGCCACTTGAGGCTCCGATTGATGTGCTCAGCAACAACCCGAAGGCCCGGCCGCATCTAAAGCCAGAGCTAGAGAATTATATCTCCCTTAACTTCGTGGAGGGCGGTGTCACGGGAAACAAAAACGACGACGAAGAACCCTCCGCTGCTTCAAGCAGAACACTGTCGGGGGGCCGAGACAACGGCCAAGACCGTGGCGATGGGGGCGGTGGAGCCGGTGTGAACGATGGCAGTGATGGCAACCAAGAAGAAGACGGTGCTCTTTGGCGGGGTAGCACGGGCGTCTACACCGGTACAAAGACACCCAATGGGACCGCAGACAGTCCGCCCGCACCATCTTTGGAACCAGGCAGCACCACAGATCCTTCCGGGACAAGCAATAAAGCAGTAGCACAGGACGCGGACGAATGCAGTGATAGTGAAGAGATGCTTCTGTACCCACGAACACTCGGTTCTTCCGTAAGCGTGCTCGACGAGAAGGACGCGGTTCGTCGGACCGGAGGGGCGAGGTTTACGGGGGAAGACCCAATACGCGGTCGGCTTCGCGCAACCGACCCATTCTTGTGGATGGGTCGCCTGCACGCCGGGGCGACGGCGATTTCTGGCCTCATCGATCAGGCCAAAGGCGCTCTGGACGGCCTCGATGGTGGCGGCAGTGATGGTGATTCTGTCACTAGTAGAGGAGGAGGAGGAGGAGGAGAACGAAGCAGCAGCGACAATCGGCGAGTGGAGGGCCTTGTCGACTGGGGGGAGGGCGTGGCGGGCCCAACATTAGCGGGTGGTGAGAATACGTCAAAGCAGTGGATGAAAGGAGGGGCGGCGGGGGAGCAGAAGGTGGACGAGGGTTGGCAGACGGTGGGAGAAGACGATGGGCGGGCGGGGGGTCATAACGGCGAAGATGAGCATGGCAGTGATGGGAAAACGCATGTGACACACACGTCGAGCGGCAGCAATTCAGCCGTCGAGCACATAAGCAGCACCATGAGCGCGTACTCGCAAGCGATGGAGGCGAACAGAATCATCGCCGGCGGTGTGGTACTCGAGGGGGAACAGGAGGAAGACCATGAGAATGACGGAGATGTAAGTGAACACATCAGATTGCATTTTACTTTGGAACCAGAAAATTCCGGCCGAAATGCGGGTCGCTTCACGAATTCGTGGTACACACGGCACCATGTTTAACGGGGAACTAAGAGTTGGTGAAACAGGGGAAAAGGCGTGGGGTCGGGTGGTCGTGCCTCGCGCAGAGTGTCTGTAGTATGAGAGGCGTTATATCGGTCATTGGTTGTGTCGGTAAATTGAAATGGGTGGTTCAGTTACGGTCGGACTCTGTACAAATAGAAGATTGAAAATATCTTTGAACATGTTTGAGGGGGGTGAAAACCGACCTCTTCGCTCATGCTCGTGCGATCCATTGACGATTGTTTGATCGCTCCGTTGTCACGGACATTGGAATCTCCCCCCCGCATTAATGATGGCACACACACCTTCACGAGCAAGCTAGTACTAGTAACTATCCGGAGGAGACCAGTCTTTCGTGTACGCGCAAACGTCTGGATGATATGGGGTTTTGCTTGTTGCCACGTCTCCGTTAACAATTTTCCTCTGGCCCTCGGTTAGTTGTATCCTCTAGTCAACCGAAAGCCTTCAGCTCTATCCTCACGAAATGAAACCTGTCCCAAACGATCGTGGATACCTCCTCCAGGAGACCCAAGACCACCCCAGCAGCAGCAAAGGCAAAGAATTATTCGGCCTACGGGACATGCGCAAACGGCCTGCTGGCAGTGGGCCTTGCCCTATGCGCACTTCTCCTGTGAATGCGAGATCGGCTGCCCTTGGTAGTTTGGCCAAGCTCGGCAAAATTGACACTGGGTTGGGCAGGCCAAAGAATACGCTCCCAGTGGGAAGCAGAACCTTCGACATAGTGAGTAGCAGCAGCGGCGGCAACGATCCGACTACTTCGTGGGAAGCCACTCAGGTGCGTAGATCGTGTTCGCTCGATAGGAACGTACTGTCGGCGATAATAGTTATCCTTGTAGACGGCTTGGAAAACACATGTGCTCACGGGGATATAATTTTTATTCTATGGGACGAATAGTTGGCCCAGGAGACGTAGGACTGTACTGCCGCGAAGCTCGGTATTAGCACCTGATGCAGCTTCGCAGAGCCCAACAACGGTAGGATGTTGCAGGCGCCCAAAGCCAAAAGGAAACCGAACGGCAAAAGGAAACAGGAAACGGTATGGAGAATTACACATCCACGTAGTAGGGAACTGGATCAGATCCATAGGCCGTAGATCTCCTTCATGTGCATATAGCTATCGCGGACGTCTTCCATCTGCCGAACTCACGTTAAAGCAGGCAACATACTCTACTAGGGGAGAGGAATGGGGAGAGGACGAATCTCAAGACATCCGTTTCGACGACATCGTGTCTAGTATCATCCGAGAGGTCCCTTCGAGGGCACCGCCGACGCCGAGAAGTGTGAGTGATGCCAACCGTTGATGTTGAATAGGTTGTCGTCGTTGCTCATGTGTGTCGCTCTTGCTTGTATTGCACGCCCTGCACGACGCCTTGTTTCATTCAAGCTTTCTCTTCCGACCGGCCGCGACGTGTTGTTGACCTGAACATATGTAGTATTACAATCATCAGATTTATTCAGGATAGCAGAACCCACGATGTGCTTACTCAAGAACTGGCATGTATCTTCACGTCCTCGGTATTGATTTCCTACGGACCGCTTCACATGTGCCGTGCTTGCCATTTGCGTCCATGGGGGGTATGCTCAGGTAATGACATGGTTTAACAGATACGTCACCTGCAAGCACTGCTTTGAATGCTCCAACCACAGCTCGTGTTGCCGCCTCCTTGGTATGTTTCTCTCCGGTGCACGTCAACGGCCAGCCCGAAGGCGTGGGCGGCACGGGCGGACATGAAGCAGTGAGACCACCGTGGTCTGCGCAAGAACGGACATCGCCGACGCGAAGACAGAGGTTAAGACTGCGCTTTAGAGGAATGTAATATTTGCCACCAGCCTGAAGTACACATAATTTTAGCAGCTCTGAAATTCTGCCGGGTTCTGATGCAACCTTACTACTTCTTAGCCTAGGCCGTTCGAGACTCCCACGGCTGGTTACCCGCCCTCTCTCCTTCCACATGACCCGTATGGCAAGCGGCGGTGAGCCCCACCAATGCGATCCTTTTCTCCGCCGCCATCGGTCGAAATCTTGCTTGATATGTGCTTATATCCCAATTAGGGATGGTGCAAGCTGGGGGCCAGTCGAAGAGCAGGGGCGACGGCCTCGGTCAACTCCTGCCGGGTTCCGTGCAAGGGCAGAGGCCGCGGCGACTGTTCTCGATCGACGGCCTCCTTGGTCCCTCCCATTGGATAGCGTGTTCGCCCCTCGCGTAAAAGGAGCCGTACAGGTGATTCACTCTGAAGTGATCCACTTCGAGTAGGGATGTGAATTGTCGGCTACGTTGCCCCTAGCCAGGCTAGCAACGTTTTCCGGCTAGCAGTCATGATGCTTAGGTTTTCGCCGCGGTTAGTGAAGAATTGGGAAAGTATTCGCTCATTCCAATAAAAAAATTTCACGAGCAAAGACATGCGCATCCTTTCAAACCTCCCGGTGCCACGGCACGACATACAGCAGAAGACAACCGTAGTTCTCGCTCCGACGCCGACACTGCACGAGTTTGGTGCCAGACCATCTAACGAATAGAACAGTTGGATGATTGTGATTCTCCGTGTCTCGATCGTGTCTGGATTAAAACGCAGCCATCGGTCTTGATGGCGCCGGCCCGCCGTCGATTCAGCGATGCAGACGGTTCGGTCGGCGGCGGTATCAGCCACCCGCCTCCCCGACAAGGGATTCCACCGCGCAGCAGGAACCTTGTCGTCCGCGGGGCGTCCGCCCTCCGATGGCAGCGACGAATCACGACAGCCCCTTCGGATATGTCTTGTGGAATAGTGCCCTTCGAAATGTCACGAAGAATGTCAAGCGGGGAGGCAGGGGCGGCGGGAAGTGCGGGCGCTGCGGTGACGCTGCAAGACCATGATCCATCGGCAGAAGAATCGCCCCACAGCATGCGCAGGTATCTACAGTAGATATTCAGATGGGCGAATCGTGACGGACCATTCACCTACCGACGAACATTGATATTAACATCAGGCCTCGAACGGGTAGTGAGATCATAACCAGCTGATTTTAACCTTCTCTACACTATGACGGATATCATTCCAATAGAAACTCCGCTCGGTGTACTCATTACCTAGCCTTATTTTTGTATCAAACGCAAACCTCAAGCCAGGAAGGAATGAGGGCGTGAAAGCCCGCAAGCCCCGAAACTACACATGTCAAAAATTCTTCGCGCGCCCGACACATTCAATGTATGCTTGCACACACCAGATCCCACTCGGCCTCGGAGGTGTTGCTCCAGTGCGGCCTCCTCCAAGAAGAGCCGCCTGTGGACAAACCTCCGGCCATGGCCGACGGAATCTGGAGCTGGGGTTGGCATAACGACGGTGGCCAAGAGACCCTCCCGCCGACAGCTGCTTCCGAAGATTTATTCACGCCTCTGGTGACTCCGGAGGTAATTTCGGGAGTGTGAGCGTGAGAGTGCATCCGCTCAACCTTAGAAGCTAAAACACTTGATGGAACGAAATTGGAACGACTCCCGCCGAACAGCAAGGGACTTTCTTGAGCAACTGCCGGTAGGAAGCAACGTACAGAGATGCCGCCGTCGTCTTGGGATGTTTCGGCAACTGGTTCACTCTTGGGTGAGGTACATCGCTCATTTTCACTAGAGAGGAGGAATCCCCCTCCTGTAGCGTGTGCAGTCGTTGGTGATATCTGTGGCAGCGAGTAATTCCCAACTGTACGTAGCGCTTGGCGGCAATGCCCTCCCCCACACCCTTCGTTCCATTCATCGCACCGCAGATATGCAAACGTAGCACGCGAACTGGTCTCGGAGGCACGTCTCCACTCCGCAGTACGCGCAACAATGGTGGTGCCTCTCTCTTTGGGGGGAGTCGGTCGGGCACTAGAGCCCCTTCAGGTGTGCCGTATAGCCGAACGCACTCCCACGCCACTCAAGGAAGCAAAGTCCGCCCGAAACGCGCCTCCTTCTCGCACGACGAGGGTGGCGAAACCCGACCATGGACCACGGGTGATTTCAACGAGGAGGAATCGTTCGCAGTCGGCAACGCGGCGGATGACGGGAATGGGCAGGGCACAGGCGGTCTCCTACGTAGGGCTATCTCAGCCGAAGACCCCTTCCTATCGCCACACCTGGCCAACAACGATGACCTACTAACGCAGGCAGAAACCCCGGTCGAAGTTGCTGCCCAACCTACGGCTGATGACGGGTCTGCTCCTGGCGGTGGCGAAAGCATTGAAAAAATTGATGCGGACAGCGTTGGGCTGTTTGCTGGCGACAAACAAGCAGCGGGAGGGCAGGGCGGCGTTGAGGGTGCTACCGACGACGGCATCAACAACGAAGAGGTGGAACTTCCGGGGGACCTACCTCAGCAGATGCCCCGAAGAGTCAGCTTTGCAGACGAGCAAGACCCAGGCCTCCTGGCCGACGGCAGAAACAGCAGCGGACAACGCAGCGGTCGACAACGGGAGGGATGGGGCGCTCAGCGGCGCCGAATGTCCAGTCTCATCGGCACCAGCAACGGCTACCTGGAGAGCGACGGCAGCATCAACGGCCAACTGTTTGACATAAACGCAAGGCGGAAGAGCGACCTTGAGCGCTGCCAGAGAGCGATGGAGATCGCGAGGGCCGCCCACGAGCTCTTATTTACTGACACCCGTCCGGACGGGCTTCGCCCCATCACGGGGACCCCGATGACTGACGGCAGAGACATACAAGGAATGGGAGGGTTGTATGTCGGCCTCGCTGGACTCAAGGGCTTCGATTTGTCGTTTGTCGGCGCGATTTCCTCGAGCAAGAGTGGATGCCGACGAAACTTGGGCTCGGCGTCGTCACGCCTCGTGGCGAACAGAAGTCTTTCGGGTTCTGCAGCTATCGTCGCCGCCGCCAATAACACCGAAGACTCTTCGGTGGTGGACAGGAATCGTTGTCCATCTCCTAACGTCGTCCCAGGGGCATCAGTGGGCGCCTCTTGGATTCCGAAGGGGGGGCTCTTGGATCGACAGCCGGGGTCTTTGATGGCCAGGCCTCCCGCCTCTCCGGACGCCGCCCCTTCTTCCGAGGCAGCTCACTCCTCACCAGCAAGAGGAAGCAGTCCAAGTGCCATGGCCGATGTGCAACACGGCGGCGCGCGCCTGAGGTCAAGCGGCGGCGTCACTGGCGACCCGAAAGTCACAACGAACGGTAGTGGCTGCTCTCCCAATGCAGCCTCTTCTTCAGCCGTTCAGCAAGGGTCGCCGCCAGCGAAGAGAAGTGCCAGTGCTCCAGGGCGTGGGCCGTCCAGCGCAGCAGGTCTTTTGCCGGCGGACATGCTCGACATCCGAAGCATCGGGTCGGGGAGTGACAAATCTGACGGGTCAAGGCGAAAAACAAACGAAGGGGAGAGCGAGAACCTGTGCGTAAATCGAAGACTTGGTGCGAAGGGCGAGACAAGCGAGGCCCCGAAAAACGAAGACGAGAACAGTGAGAATGATTGGAAATCGGAGGCTGGTATCCAGGAAGCCCCGCCGAGTACAGCGCTTGTATCGAACGCAGCAAACGCGATGGCGTCGCTGTTTGCCCCAAAGGCAGCCGTGCTCTGGTCTGCGAGAGACTTGGGCGTGGAGAAGCTCGTGGTTTCTGCCGCCGGCGACCAGCAGGTACAAGACTGGCGTTTTGTAGTTCCTGAAACGGCCTTGTTCATGACATGTTGTTCATGACATGACGGGGAGAGATTTCCGTCAAGCAATCGTTGCTTTTTCTTCGAACATCCTGGTGTTCATGTTGGCCGTTGAACAGCTTTCGTCCATCTCGCGCGTGCGTGTAATCCCCATGGGTGTGCATGTAGGCGCATCGACGTCCTACGAGCCGCAACTACACTTCACGGGCGCTCCTCACGGCGTACAAACAGGCTAGGCCCGTTTTCGAGGTAAGGGCTCTACAGTATGGATGTTGAGGGTGTCTAAACAAGAGAAACGGGGAAGGCAAGGAAGGACCGCCCACCTAGGGAGGCATCGAATATGGCAGAAGATTCAATAACTAAATTCTCCGTACAACGTAGATATTGGGTGCGATTCGGTTGTCGGTGGCTGGCTACACATGGAACGTGCCGTTAACGGTCATGCCTTCAGAAAGGGTGGCCGTGTTCATGGATCTCTGCTCTTGGCGCTAGAGCCAATATCCAAGTCGAGGGTGGCGCAACTTTCTAGCGTAGGTCTGCCGCCAGTATCGAACGCACCGTTCAATGAAAGCCAGCGAGAGTTGGGCAATGGTGGGGTTCGGGGTTCCGCATGTTAACGGCACGCTCAATTGTAACAAATATTCGGTGGTCCAGGTGGAAGCCTCGAGTTGGCGTAAGCGCGAAGGAGCGGTGGCCGGTGTCGACTACCCTCTACAGCCCCCCGCCGGCTGGGGAGGGGTAAGCTCGAATCCTCGTTCAGCAGGAAGCAAATCAGCCGTCGCCTTGTCCGACGAGGACAGGCAGGCGGAGGGGAAAGCTTTCGAGCGGCGACTGGTTTCTCCCGCCGAGGTGAAGGCTTTCCGCGAAGTTGTGATATCACGGCGTGCTAACAACCGGGCGCAGGGCTCCGGTGGAGGAAGGGGGCAGGGATTCTCGTTGGGTTCCCCGCCGTTTTCTTCAGACTGCAGCGAATCGACGTCAAGAGGGGGGGTGTTGGAGGACAACGGCTCGTTGATGAGCTCGATCGCCGACACGAGTTCGGAGGGGTCTTTTTTCCAGGAAGAACTCCGTTCAAAGGGCTGGCGTAAGATGCCCGGGGGGGGGTCTGCCAACGCCCCCAAAACGTGGTCGAAAGGAGTCGAACAACACAGGCAGCAGAATCGGATCCCCTCCGGAGGGCTTGTGGCGGCGATCGACAACGACCGGGATACCGAGAGCGTCCGGTCGACATCCGCATCGTCCACGGAAGGGACTATGACGCCGACGACCACGCCTGACCTCCGCCTGATTCAGCAGGACAACGACCGCCACCTTCTCCATGCCTCGGGGGGAATCCGCTCCGGCGGGGAATCACAGCCATCTGTTCTGAGCAACGTGTTGGCCCCGCCGAAAGAAAGCCCACTTGCTCCTTCTTCCGGCCTAGGCTTGGATTCGGGTCCGGCCGTAAACACGGAGAGTGCGTTCCGCTTGAGCTGCGAGGCTGACGCTGATGACGTGTTGAGGGCGATGGTGCGACTAAGCATGGCATCTACGCCAACCGGAGCTGGAAGCCTCGATGCTACAAGGCAGAGCCCGCAAGGCTACCACGGTGGCGATGCCTCGGCCAGAGCAGGGGTGGACGAACGTGCGGCGCGTAGACGTCGGGGCAACGGAGCAGCAGCACCACAAGTACCAACCAGATACTTGTTGCCTGCAGAAGGAAGCAGCAGCACGGGTATCTGCAGAGGGAGCACCCCAGGTATCAAGAGCGGACACCTTGGCAACAGGAAACCCCCCTACGTTAACGAGACCGCGTGTCCCCCCGACGAAAAGGACAACGTTCTCGACATTGAGGGACGGATGTTGCGGTCGGTGGGAGGCGCACGAAGCGCCGGGCACCCATCGCAATGGCGAAACGAACGGCTGGCCAATACACCCGACACAAGACGCAGCACCAAGAGAGATTTTTCGGGAAGGAGTACAGCTCCACAACACGGGCAGCGGCCGAACCATCGCGGCACGGTAGCGGCTGCAGCTGCCGGCCGGGCGCAGCTTGTGCTGTCTGAGAGCGAGAGCGCCCCACCAGCGACCTCTCAGAATAGGTCGTCGCCGTCAGCGTTGTTTCAGGATGATAGCGGGCGCCGTGGCGGCAGGGGCAACGGAGGCGACGGGCCCGGAGGAATGGCCGCTCTTGAGTCAGCCTTAAGGGCCCTATCGGCCACCGCCTCGTCGACTAGCGGAGCGTCGCGGCAGCTCTCTTCTTCTTCGGCGATTTTCAATCGTAAGTCTGCTGCACGTGATGCTGGGGACAGCACGAGCGACGATCGTGGGCGAGGCTCTTCTTCACAGTCGCGTGTGCCAATCGTCGGTGTGGGTTATCGCGGCTCGAAGCGGGAGAAACCTTCCGTGGGCGGCACCGATGGCACTATACGTTTTGGCGTTGGGCAGAACGAAGGGGGCGTCGGCGCCAAGACAAGAAGCGAAGGAGCACTCGATGATGGCTCCAGTACATTCATCGGACCAACAGACCCCGAAGCTTCGGTGACGCAGAGTTCCTGCCTAACCTTCGGCGAAGGTGGTGGTGGTGGTGGGTCCATGGCATGCGATAACGACCACGGCTATTGCGACGAGAGTGACGACAAGACGACCGGCGACCAGATGTCGATGATCATAGCAAGGGTCACCAGGGACGCAGCGGCGTCTGTTTTGTCTGCGGAGGGAATAATCACGACAGAGGCTTCTCTGGTGACGGAAGAAGCCGAACGACTACTTCCACCAGCAGTTGCGCAGAAAGGGGCTGACACTGCCGCCGCCGCTGCTGCTGCCGAGGAATCCTCACGGTTGTCACCAATGGCGACAGAGAGTGAGCACCTGAATCAAGCACCGCCTAGGGGCGATACCACGAAGGTGGGAAGGGAACAAGTCAACAAGGGGCCAAAGAGCAGAGGCAAAATCACCATGACCGGTTCACACACCAAATCAAACGAGAGGAAGACGAAGCCAGCCTCGAAGCCTCACGCTTCTAGGCCAGAAGTCGAGGGAAGGAGTGGTCGCGGTGGGGTTAGCGGCGACAAGAACGCTTCTGCCTCCGTCGGGTCTTCGTCGGCCACAGCGAAGCTTAAGCCCGAGCAGGAAGCTCCGAAAGGCAGCACATCAAGCTTGCGTCGTAGCAAGGAAAAAGGTCCTGCCTCGGTAAGAGGCAACGCTGGCGAAGAGATGCTTGCCTCGGGTGCCACCGATAGTGCCGTCACCGCAGGGTCTCCGGTCGACAGGAGTCAGGGTAGAGGCAGAGGTCCAGAGGAAGCCAGTCCCGCAGACAGCAACGCCCTGGCACAGGCTGAGGTTGCGAACAAGAGAGAGACTGGGATTGTTCGAGAGGCCCAGACAACAAAGTCTCCCTTGTGCCAGGTGGACACGTCCGGCATGCCTTCAGGAGCCCAGACGACGATCGAGACAAAAGGGAACTCGCGCAGCAACGTAAGGCGCTCGCAGAGAGGCCAGGATAGCTCCCGTGGAAACAGAAGCACCAACGCCGGACGGGCCGCATCAAGCGGAGGCGGTAGCCCAAGCAGCCAGGGGAGTAGCGTCGTAAGCCGCGGCAGTACTCGAAGCGGAAGCCATGCCAGAGGCACAGAGGCGACGGGGAGCACGGGGAGCACGGGGAGCCGAATAAATAGCAGGAACGCCAGCGGCCCGACCTCTCGGAAAGATATCCGGAAGGGGGGCGCAACAGATGCTGCCGCTAGCAAGAAAGTATCCCTTCCTGCCCTGGCTAAATCAGAGACGACGAAGACCGTCCAGGATGGTGCCCAACAGCAACGGCAGCAGGACGGCTCTGTCGCCGAGAGAGTTCAGGCCAGCAGAGGTACGGAGGGTTCAGAAACTGCCGACGTTCACAAGCAACTTCCGCGGATTAGCAGCGGCGCTGCCGCCGGCGGCGGGCGCGTCAAGACTTCAAGTTCCGCAGCGGGGAAGACTCTTCACAAGGCAATAACGGTGCACAAGAGACCCACGAGGGTGGAGAACGAAGACCTGTTCACAACGACGGAAGCGTTGACGACGCACCACCTCACGGTAGAGGAGCTCTTGAAGGTAGACCCGGTCGTGTCGCCATTGGTGTTCTTGAATGCACAATCTACAACAGCGCGGGCCCGCTCGTACGGGACCACCGGTAACGATCAATAATTGCAGCTTGCATCCTACTTGCCCCGTCGAGAATTCGAGTCGAGTGAAAGGACAGACATTCTGCGCCAGCCGATATTCAGTTGTTGTTGGTGCCCTGATCGCATGAATGTTTGCGTGAATACATGTACCTGCTTTTTGTTTTGTTCAGGGCGGCTATGATGAGCTCCTGGACGATAGCGACGGCGACGAAGAAACCGCTAGCCATCGGGTTCGAACGCGAAAGGTACGATGAGCAGAGTTTCCAGCCCCACTGCCCTTGAACCCAAGCAACACTGTCCCAGGCCCTCTTTTGTGTTAAACCCGCAGAAGCCTAACGAGTTCGCCGGCGAAATACATGGTTCGCCAGAATGATCAACCCGGCCCAAACGATTTCAGTCCACACATCATTTGGAGAAACGTCCACACGCTCGCACTTTCTTTGAGGTGCTATTTTTCACCCCACATGTCATTGCGGGGTTGAAACGAGTAGGAGTCATCAGTCGTTCCCCTGAAGAACGAAGCAACACCCTCCATCATTTGGAACATAACCGTTAAAAAAATGTACAAGCAACGGATATTGACGTGTGTCGGCCTGTGTCGTAGAAGCCCGGTACAGACCTACGCTGGGTGAATTAAATTTGATTCGCCGAGGCTCCAAATTACAGGCAGCTGCACGGGCACCTGCGGATATTGTGCACCAACGACCGTCCGCTGCTGTCCTTGATCGACGTTTTTCGTTGTACACCAGGAGCCGCTCATGATACCGCACAGGGCTCGGCCGAACGGAATGGCCTACTGGCAGGACAGGGAGGAAAAAGAGCGAGTTAGGCGGCGCCGCCCGCTATCCGAGATCGAAGGACACGGCACGAGAGGTGGTGCGGAAGCAAGCCGGGGCGGACACGGCGGGGCTGTAGCTGGAGGCATGGTGGCTGGCGGGGGGGACGGGCAATGGGAAGACGAGAAAGAAGAGGTACGCGTCGTCAGCAATTCGAGTTTTCCTCGCTGCAGACATCATTTTTTTCTACGCGTGTGCGCAATTTTTTGTGGTGTGGGCTACAATATGGTAAACAGCTGTGATAACGACTGTGTACTCCACGCTAAACACGACCGACTACGGGGAGAAATGGAGCGGGAAAGTGGCACGAACGGCTACAATACTAAAGAGGGAAACAACCGCGCTTCGTCATGGGGTAGTTCCCACCACACTCCGGTAGTTATTCGACGCTCATGCTGCCTGTAGGTCTTAGACGTCTATGATGTGCTACTTCTGTCCGACGCTGCCCCCCCGTCCCCTCTGCCCCACATCCCCTCTGCCCCACGTCCCCTCTCTGGTAAATTAGCTCCTTCCGACTGATACCCCCTCCCCCTCCGCCGTGAATAGATCAAACGCCTCCTTTCGGAGGCCCGAGCAAGGAGGGAAGCGGCAGTCGCCCGGGTCCGAGCGAAACGCGAGCAAGCAAAAATCGACAGCGAGGGACAGCTCGTCCGACAGGCAGCAGCCGCCTCCACCCCCACCTCTTCATCATCAGGAAATGGTTCGTCGTTGGTGCACCACGCAGTACCTGCTGCCTCTTCTTCTCCGCGCGCTGCTGCAATGCCGGGTGAAGACAAACGGCTACCAGGGTTCCCTGCGCAGGGCCCTTCGAGTACCACCGAAAGGGGAGAGATCAGCAGGAGTCGGCCCAACGGAGTCAAGGGAGGCGAACCTCCTTGGAAGGGCTTTACGCTCAGCGACGGTAGGAACTTGTCGTAGTGTTAAACGACTCCATGTATGCTCTGCGGCAAGCCTTTCCCCCGCTTATTTACAGTGGCTACGAGTATACGGCACAATATTGATGAACTACAACGTTTTTCTGCACTTGTCGGACACCACGGGGATCTCGTTCTCGCGAAACTAGAGATCACACATCGCTCTCTGCTCCAGTTGATCTTCTATTTGCTCGAGCCGGGTGTTGCTTCCTTCCTGCAGCCCGCGCCCACCGGCTTGCTACCGACACAATATCCGTCTGTGCATAATCACGAATGCATGAGCGTTTTCAAATTAGTTTTCTGATGAATCAATATGTTTCATCGAACGCCTCGAGGATCGATGGATCCTATGGTGTTCATATGATGACCGATTTACATTAAGTCGCTTTTGCCGCTCGTTCTGACCAATCAGACGGAGAGGCGTTGCTCCGACGGCGGCGCGCCCCGTCCCCCGAACACGTTTCACCGGTCCAGGGCAGGGAAGACTCGGAGTACCAGGTAACAAGTCGCAACGTATAGCGAAGAATCACCTCCTATCCGCCTGGTTTGTTTGGTCTGTGTCGTGTACCATTTTTGTACAAGCAGCGAGTTCAACCACAACAAGGTGTAACCTTCTGCACATATGGGAGTGGGTAGTGTCAAGCAGTTTTGGGAGAGTGTCGGATGCATAGCCGTAGACCATTTCCCGCGATAAATGTCTGACAAAAAAATCGTTTTACCTTAGGCATTCTAAAACCTCTACCTCTACTTCATCTCCCAGGGAGTTTCTTCAACCGCCAACACGCGAAGTGCGATCAACACGCCTCCGGGGGGCAAAACTAGCCCGGTCTTGGTGTTACTCCAGGATCTCAATTGCGTCGAATACAGGACTAGCCTACTTTGAGACACTTTGCTTGGATGGAGCGTACTGTCGGGCAAACCCCGCCGTACATTATTCATATACGTCATGGTGTTGCTGATACCAAAGATAGGAAAGAGCTTCAAATCTCACAGCCAGTGGTTCTGAAGGCGTCATCCGCGTAGACCTGCCTCAATACTGCCGTCACATTGAACACAGCTTATTAGTCCTACCTTGCTACTGCTGTGACATTCAACATTGTTTGCCAGCTTATTGTGCCTGGGGTGAAGGACAACCTGGTCAACTTCAGCGTGGATACGGTCGCCGTGCGGACGAACTACGGGAAACTCAGACGGGGCGTGGAAATTCGACACAGGGTACGCGCTGATATCGCCTCGTGAAAAATTGTGTCTGGTGCCGATTTGGTTGGTAGCCGTTACTGATACGGCTCGAGACTCGGGCGACCAAACCGCGGGATATCGGTCATGCCGATATGGACAGAAAGAGTAACAACAGTGATAATCCGACGAGCGCCACAGCGAAAAATATCCACCCCAATAAGCACTCTGTGCTGGCGACATTGTGTTAAAGTTATTTTACAATTTCGATTACTGTAGGATAGCGGTAATTAGTGTCGAAAACGAATCTGTTGCACGTGGGAAAGTAACGAAAGACAGGCAGTGTGCCCTTTCACACCCTCATACTTGATGTCGAATACCATAACCTGGTTCAATGGCGATACCTCTACACTCCCGACGATGCCACCGGTGAAGAACCGTCGCACATTGACACACACTCCCTCTCAACACGTATGTCCTGTTTCTGCACGATGCAACTTCTTGATCTCCGTCCAGCAGATGGGGATAGGCGAAGACGGCGAAAACACTGATCCCGACGACGAGGACATGCCCGAAGCCAACGATGATGATGGCAGCCCGATGCTAACCATACGCGCGGCAACAGACCGGCTGTCGGGGGACCTAAGCAGCGACTTTGATTACGACAGCAGTGCTCCGAGCACACGTGAACGTTTGTTGTCTCGTCCTAGCACCTCGGGGGCTATTCCCGAAATTTCTCTCCGACGTCGCACTGGGGTGCAAGGAGGCCGTCGCAGCTACGCGGAAGCGCCGGTTCCGGTGGTAGATCCCGCTGGAACGATTGCCCGGGCTTCAAGAATAGTCACAGAACTGCGGCTGGACGGAGAGAACATGATGTCCCCTCTGGATTCACTGAGGGGCGATGTGGGTTTCGACAACGACGACAATACCGATGTGTCGGGGTGAAACAACAATCCAATCAATGTGGCCGAGCAGCACACCGTGTACACGATGGCCCGGGGGAGGTGTCGGACGACACCAGGCCATCGAAAAGGTCTCATTTCAATTATGGTTCCCATTGGACAAGCATCTTGGGAATTTACTTCTTTTTCGGAAGTAGGGATCGTGGGCGCGTTTTCGGGCCCCGTCGTGTATCCGACCCCACTCTTTACACCAATAGATTAATCTAGTGTCGATACTGACAAGAGAGAGGTGTCTGTCTGTCTGTCGATTGACATGATGACTCTCTTGCTTGTCGTCCTAAACCTCCCCCCAAAAAACGTTGTGTTTCAATCAATCAGTCAAGCAGCGGTGTACGAATTTATTTCTGGCCCCGAGTTTTCTTCCTAAGATAGAGTACCTACATGTAGTCTAGACTATGTATTTGCAAGTGATGTGCTCGATTATATGTAGCCTATACTATTGTATAGTCTTGTGTGTAGGTCTGCATGTCGATGCGCTGCATGTTTGGACGGTTTCGCAGACGAAGGTTACACAACATACCGTGACCAACCCCAGGGGACCGACAACTTGTTGTAAACACCCCGTGGCATTTTCTCAGAGAGAGGCAGTAGGGGGCAATCAGCAATCAATGTCGTCACAACATATCATCGAGGCATCGACTACGTGGCGACACTACACTTGTACTTCTATGTCGAACCAGGGCAATCAATCTTTTTCGGAGCACTCTTGTCCCGGCCACAAACAAACCCTTTCGCCCGCGTCACCGGAACGGTAAATAAACTCGGTTGTCTTTCCTTGTGGTCTTTCGAATATATATGTTGTCGTGGCTATTGCTTAATTGATTATTTTCTCTTTTTTGTGGCGTGCGGTGTTGTCTCGAAGTCGCGAAACAACATATGCATACGGTGGTACATAAGTAAGTATGGGCATTTGTACACCATGCTGTTCTTCCCGTGACCCCACCAGTTGAAGAAAAAACGGTTTGTACGATTCGTTACAATACGGTATCCTTGGCCAAGACCAGAGTATCGCTTGGCTCATGGCGCCTCTCTCTTCTTGGTCGGCACCATATGGCATGCTGGTGCCACACACCGACCGATGTGTGACAGTCCCAACCTCGGGATAATCAGTACTCCGGAGTAACACACATGTTGTGAATCCAGCAGCGAGCGGGGGTTCGAGGAGGAAGGGACTGTAATTGGGTGGGGTGCGGGGCGCCGCCGTTTGTTTGTTTTTTTGGTCTAGACTTCTTTTACATTCGGAACATTTTATCCTAAAGATATTCACCATTGGTTGTGCTGTCGACAGCACCCGGATCATCATTATCATCTACCAAAGCAAAGCCGAGAGGTTGTGTGTGCGTGTTTCCTGAGCCCGTTCGGCCTCTCAGCAACAGCAACGGATAAGTAGCCTGGCTGTGATGCTCTGGAATCCCAGCAGCATCGCATCCATCCATCCATGCTCATCAAATCAACCTTTCCAACGCGCCTCCTACGTCATGGCTCTTGGAGAAGAGGCTCCAGCGACGACGATCAGCGGAGCTCAACGGAGACAGCAGTGAGCTCTGTTGCCCCCGCTTCCGGCCCCGGAGCGCAGACGGACCGTCTATCTTCTTGCGTTAGAAAGGGTGCTGATACGTACACGAAGGGCTCCTCTGCAGCAGCCTGCACTCTGTGCGAAGCACTTGTGGAGCTTGACCATTTGGTACACAACGGCGGCAGCAAGGAGCTCTCTTCTCTCGTTTCCGTTTACGACCGCGTCGCCAGAGGGGTATTGCTGTGCTGCGAGCACCCGGCAGAGGGCGCGGGAGGGGGCGGACTTGCCAGGAGCGTTGAGACGCTGACGCAGCACGTGGAAAATGCGAAGAAGCTGGCTGCGACGCGCTGTGTCAAGAGACGGCTAGCGCGGCTGTCGATGTCAAAGCAGCAACTTGAACGCGAGCTGCGAAATCTGACGGACGAGTTGCACATGTTCGCGATGCATCACACGCCGGAACTGGCGACCGACGAGAGCGGCTATGTGAGTATACCGGTGTGTGTGTGCCGTCGTCGTGTTCCTGTTTTCGCTTGGCTCGCGTATGTCTATCTTATACAGCAATAACAGCAGCAGCAGCCAGCAGCATGCACCTTCGGAGGTACTGATAAAAGTTTCCAATTTTCACACAAGCCAGTCTACAGTACAAACATCGTGGTTTGTGTGATGCCACCGCAAGAAGAAGAATTTGTTCCTCCGTCGAACGGGGTGCCTGCTGCTGCGGCGCGCTGGCATGGAGGGGGGGGGGGGGGCACCCGCCGCATCTACCTACGACGGACGAACGCCAACGTATGGGTATAGGTACATGGCCGTAAGGAGCCCCCTGTGCTTCGCATTGCGTATCTTTCTCCCCCGTTGGATTGCTGCGTCCGTTGATCCAAAAATATTCCCGTTGGCCCCGGGAAAGAACTCCCCAAAGAAAACAACAAATAACACAAGCTGTGGTGGAGTCGTTCGGACCTTGTGTGATGGTATCCAACAACAACGTAAATATTAGGCCGCCTGTGTGTGTGGCCTCTGTGTTCCTGCATGCATACGGGGAAGGAACACTTGACGCACAACTCTTGTGCACACCCGCCCGCCACGGCAACCCGGGCATGAAAACGAAGAGACACAAGAAAAAACGCTCCGAAAAAGCGGAAGCAAAATTTGACGGAACACCAAGGTGACAAGAAGAGTTGAGTGTCGTCGAAATGTGTCTGGATCGCATGTCATCGAACACCTGTCTGTCTGATGTGTATCTTCGTTCTGAGGGTGTATTGTGGGCGCCAGCCTACACCCCTCGGTGTATACAGTCAGTATGCATATTTTTTCCCTCACGCACCAGCCGGGGTAATACAGAAGGAAGGAGGTCCCCACTTCCCCACCAAGTGACCACTATCGGAGTTGTTTTTTTCTCCAAATAAATATCTCTTTCCTGCTGTCTGTCGATTTTACAGCGAGAGAGGGCCGCCGTGTCCTTTCCTCGTTTTTTTTGTGTTCACGGACATGACCATCTAGGCGTAAGCTGCAGACAGAGATGCTCTTCGACACCTCCGCTTAGATTTATTTTTTCTCTATGAGAGATGCGGAAACCAAATCTAATCAGGGAGTTCCAAGATCGCTGCAGCATCGGCGGAGCCTGCCGCTAGTTGTAGTACGTACTACGTACGTATGTAAATGATGAAGTCCCCGGCTATTAATAGTTGTTACAAAGAATGATGTAAACTATTTTACTGCTGCACATTTGCATGTGTAGTACTGTACTGGTACTGCAGTATGCATACCCCCCAAGAGGGGGCAGCAAATATATTCATGGAGAAGAACGAAATACAAACGGCGGGAGAGACAAGAAGCACGGAAGCAGCTAGACTATATATTATTACATACTGTTAGCGCCCGCAATTAAGAAATATTTTGTTAAGAAATTGAGGCTCACTCTTTCACGAAAAATAAGAAAATAGGGTTAAGCAACATAGCTCAATCTGGGTCACACCATAAGAAATGTCTCAATAAGAAACGCAGCAACGACCGCTGCCCTACTACATAAGAAACGAGGGGTTACGGGGGAGTGTGTCGAATAAGAAACAAACCCCACTACAGCTCTCTCGCTCTTTCCCCCTCTCCCCCTACCCCCCCCCTCCCACAGTGCATTATTATTAGTAGTTGTACGCCGAGGGGGTAGGTAGTGTTTTTTTTTGCGGCGCCCCCTCCGGCCCCCGGCGCTGCGGGCTCTGCGCTCTGCTCTGCTGGCTCTAAAGCTCTGATCTTCGTTGTTGGCATGTCAGCGTGCGGGTGAGGCATCATCATGCGGTGTTTATGCATTTATTTGTTTAGTTTCAGCCCTCACTCATGAGGGGGGTACAAGACCTTGTAGCGATAGCAAGACGTTGCGTTGAATACATTTCGCTTCTAGGGAGTGGCCTTACGTGCAGCCGTCGGTAGTGAGAATCGGGGTTGAGTACGGGAGGCGAGGAAAGCAGAGAAATAAGAAATTGCCGATTTAAGAAATTCAGCGGATTTGGCTGCACGAAAAAATAAGAAACATGATATAAGAAACTGAACGACATACATACATACGCTGAGTTTATAGCCCACAATAAGAATTCGAGGCTGGACCTGAAATAAATACGTGTTTCTTAATTAATTGCGGGCGCTAACTGTAGACATGCGAACAGATGTCCCACCTACGCACAATTAATCCGATGAAAACTACCTGTTGTATGCATATAGTTGTCGTAAACGCCTTGACAACATTGTCGTCGTATGATCCCTCTACGCTGTGTATGTGCATCTATCTCCTCCCTACAGAAATCAATCAACGAAAAATGGGTGATTCTGTGCAACCCTCGTGCATCGTTTACAGCGAGTGCCGAGTCTACAAGAAGACCATTCGGGATTCGCCTGTCTCTTGATCGATAACTCTTGCCTCCCCCACAACACGATTGTTTCCGGCTTTCATCCATTACATCTACTCCGCGAAGCCCGGCAGCCTTACCACGCATGGTGGCCGCCCGCCCTACCTACTATTATTGGGGGGCGGGGGGCCAATCGTTCCCCCTAGTTTTATTTTACAGCAGTAGATGCACGAGCCGAAGGCAGCAGCAAAAAGTAAGAGCGTACGTACGGTATGTATGTCTTGTTCAGTTCAGTCGAGCATCCATCTCGGGAGTGTGCGCGTGATGCCAATCAAAATAAGTGGTGGTTCGGGCAAGGTTCGGCCGGTCGCCGGTCCGAGATCCGCCCAACGCCGCCGTTACTGACGTTCGTACATACTCTAGACTATACATTTGACACATTATTCCCTGGGGGGGGTTGTTTCGTCAAATCACACTCAACAAGTGTTTGGGAGTCTATCGGTTAGAGCTGCGAGGGTGGGGTTGTCGACGGTGTTACATACTCTAGCTCGTGTTGTTTCCCGAACGTGTCGTATCACTTGTTCGAGCCGCCCTGACAGCGAAATATGGCAAAGTCACTCTCAGCCAGCCAAG